ATGTGCAAAAATGTATTAGGTAAGAATAAATAAGGTGAGATGTGTCATCCATGATAGATACCAGGTTTCATGTCAAATCAGGGGGTCAGGCAGTTTTTGATCATTATAAAACTACTGTACAGTCACTGCATAAAGTTTTAATAGCCTCACATCCCAAGTCAAAAGCAGATCTGAATACTGTGACCACGTAGAGTGAGTACTACATGATAGCCAGGGAAGATACATCTTTAATTAGAATAACAATAAAAATGTCTAATCCCCATAAACCTGCAAGAATACTCAAAATGAGAATCTTGTTTTATTGGCTGAAGAGGAAATTCAATTGATACATAGAATATAAAAAAGAACAGATGCTCTAATTGTGTGATCCTATGATGATCATAATCTTATGATGCCCCCATGTGCTTGTTTTTCTTGGCTCCCTCCTGGTTGGTCTTGCCCACACCTGCTCCCAATCTCCTGATTAGCCTGTCTTGGTTCAGTCTCCTCATATATACACCACCTCTGCAGTCACTCAGTGCTGGTTTGTTGTTTTGTTGTTCTCTTGTCTCTGGCTTCCCAAATCAGTTTTTCCCAGATGTAATCTTATTTTTAGTTCTCAGTGTTTTGGATTTTTTTGCATTTCTGCCCCAGTTGCCTATTAAATCTTTAGGACTCACCTCTGCCTCCTGATCTCTGCATTTGGGTCTTCAGAAACCTCCAACCAACATTGATTGAAAGTTACATGTCTGTTTCTCTGCTCTACATAAAAACCTGGATAGTCTAACCGTGGTGAAGAGAGTACTAAAGAAAAGCTTTCAGATGAGACTAATTCACCAAGATCTGCTGAAGCTTATATACCTAGATGGACTTTTTCATTGTGGTTTTCAGAAACTCTTAAATGAAACCAAGACCCTAAGATGTTCTACTCAAATAGTTTGGACCTTACAATAGTTCCACAACTTTGTTGGGCCTAAATATACCTGAACATGACAAAAACAGCAGCTGTAAAACTCTATAACCAGCACTGTTCCCAACAACCTCAAGTAGTTGTTACATTCATGTTGATTTTGCACAGTTTCTACCTTAGTCAGTTAAATAACCTGCTGCTGTCATTTTGCACATCTCTGATGTTGCTACTATTTTCAAATATCCATTACTGTAAAAATAGCTTTATATTGAAAAAGCTTCCAGGATGGGAAGAGAAACATCTTCAAACTTGGAAACTAAGTCCAGTGGATTGTTTAACTTTTTTGGAAGAAGTATATTGGTTATTTATTTTTCAGGTGCACAGTTTTATATTGTTAAAATACTTTACAGTACAGTATTTTATTGTTTAAATTCAAAATCTTCACTATTATGTTATTCTTATAAATTTTTTTAGGTCCACATTTGTTTGACCATTTTTTCTATTATCTTTTTCCTGCTGTAAACACCAGAACTTCCACATTGTGGGACAATAAAGGGATTTTCTATACTGTTCTATTCTATTTGTTCCTCTCCGTTCTATTCTATTCTAAGCAAACTATAACTACAGCTCAAGCATGTATTTCTGCGATTTACACTTAGCCTTGCAGCTCTGACATCACACCTCCAGTGATAGATGGTTGGGGAAAGCCACGCCCCTTTTCTTACCTTGACACTTAAATAGATTTCACCTACAGCAGCACCAGTGTTTTAGCAAGAACATAGGTCAGAGAAACAACTCACATACTAACCGAAAACCCCCACCTAACCAAACCAATGTATTGAAACTAAATAAAATAGACTCAAACTCTGCCTGAAAACAGAACAACAAATGGCTCCTATATATGTAAAGAACTAAAGATTGTTTTTGTGGAAGAATGGGCCAAAATCACACCTGAACAATGCATGTGACTCATTTTCCAGACAGAAGGTATCTTGAAGCTGAAGGCTTTTCTACAAAACATTAAATACATTTTATTAAGTAAGTTCAATTCTTTTTTCCCTGTGTCATTTCACCTTATTATACATATCTTAATTTCTGCACATCTATGGTTTAATTTCTTTGTATTGTTGATGACATCTGGTGAAAATGTCATATCAATAGCACCTCTAGAAATGGCTGCGTGTTCAGTACTTATTTCACCCGCTGTATGTAGAGAAAGCTCAGGGGTTTTACTCTAACCAGTGGGTTGCCGGTTCTGGTCCCCAGTCAGTCCATCTCGGTGTTGTTGAAGGGCTGAATATGAATCACTTTCAGGGTGCTGAAGAAAGCACGCATAAATAAATACAGGCCATTGCAGTGAATTAACACACGTCTTTTCTATTTTTGCTTCGGTTAAAGTTTGACTCTTGTGGCCATACTTTTTATAAAAAACATAAATAAATTATGGAAACTGAAAAAGTTCAGATTACTTTTATTATGCTCTGTTAAATGAAACCACTGAATTAAAACTGCATATCAATTATTTTTCCTTTTACTGTATTATGAATCAAGGACTAGCAAAACAGACTTATCCTGTTTGATCGTCCATTTTTAAGTCCTTTTGGATAACGCTGTCATTAAGGTTACATCTGACAGAGGATACAATAAATATGACATAGTGTATGAGAAGAAAAGTAAGGACCGTTAGAAACAGTTAGTGGCGGCCTAGTGGTTAGGGCATAGAGCTTGGAATCCTGAGGTTCTGAGTTCGAGCTCTGGTGAATTTCAATGGTGAAGTCCTCTGGAAATCTTCAATAATTGTTGTTGATTGCAGATGTGTCTAGTAGTTCCCATTGATTTTGGGTTTTTCCCCACTCCCACAGAGGTATGGAGAGCCATTTTAGCCAAAATTAAATAAATAAATAAATAAATGGGTGAAATAAATAAAAAATGAGTAAAATAAATCAAAAAATGAAGAAAATGAGTGAAATAAATAAAACATTTGTTAAATAATTTAGCTTTTTCATTAAACCAATTTTTTATTTATTTATTTTTCATATTATCAATTTCCCAATTTCTCTTTTTCATTTATCTATTTGTCATTTATCCCTTTATCCATTCACAGCGCTGCAGTTGCATCTAACCAACCAATAGGCTGCCATTGTAGCCTGAAGACACCGGCCCTCATTATCATATTAAAGCAGAAGCGAAGAGGGGAAAATAGAATGTGATAAATAAAAAAATAAGGAAATACTTAATGAATAAGGGAAATTGGAAAATGGGAAAAATATATTTTTTTAAACAAATGGTAAATGAAAAATAGATAAAAGAAAAATTGGTAAATAAAAAAGGGATATATGAGAAATTGATTAATGAAACCGGGAAATAGGAAATCGGGTTAATGGAAAAAGGAAATTGAAAAATGGTTAAATTAAAAGATAGATTAATGAAAAATGGGTAAATAAATAAAGGGATAAATGAAAAATGGACAAATGAAAAACAGATAAATGAAAAATAGATAAAACAGAAATTGAGAAATAGATAATCTGAAAAATAAAAAAATAAAAAAATTGGCTTAATGAAAAAGCAAAATTATTTATTTAACAATTTTTTTATTTGTTTCACTCATTTTCTTAATTTTTTGATTAATTTTACTCATTTTTTATTTATTTCACCCATTTATTTATTTATTTAATTTTGGCTGAAATGGCTCTCCATACAGAGGGGGATCCTGAGGTTCTGAGTTCAAGTCCCACTGTCACTCTGGGTCTCTGAGCTAGACCCTTAGCCCCACACTGCTCCCGGGTACCAGACAATGGCAGCCCACTGCTCCCCAAGGAGATGGGTTAAATGTAGAGAATGCATTTCATTGCTCTGTACTTGTGACTTTATAATGACAATAAAAACTGGAAAAAAAAAGAAACCAATATGCAGGGAATTATTGATGGTCCTGATCAGAACTGAAAAGTAGATTAACATTAAACATTAAGTCCGCTCAAATTCAGAATTCAAACTTCTGGAAGTACTTTAAATATGAAATCATTACATGCTGTTCAATAAATGATCAGTGTTTTTAATTCAGAGTAATTTTCATGTGAATGTGTTTTACTGGAGGCATCCATGTTTGTCAAAGAACACTACTGCCACCTACTGGTTGGTGACGTCACGGTGCGGTATCGGCTGTTGATCAAGTCCCAGTGCTGTATCTGGTGTTTGTCACAACGCGCTATTATCCAAGTCATCTTGAAAACATTCTTCTTCCAAATGTTGGCTACATATTACGGGTTTTTTCTCCGGCCAGAAGTTCGATGGCAAATCCTCCCTCTTCAAGTTGGCGATCCAACGACCAACCCGTCCGTGGAGGATCAGGAATCAGAAAGGTGAAATAAGTCTTTTTTTTTCACTTTTACCCGATGTATTCCAGCATCCAGCTGCCATGCACGTGGGTATTGTCAGTTTCACTATAGCTCTGGTGAATTTCAATGGTGAAGTCCTCTGGAAATCTTCAATAATTGTTGTTGATTGCAGATGTGTCTAGTAGTTCCCATTGATTTAGCTTGGAAAGCGGGGAGAATGGCGCTAGGCTTACCGCACCGTGACGTCACTGCTGGAAGATGGCAGGAGGGAGGGGTTACTATATTTGGGCAAAAATGGCCGCTCCCAGACTCAGTGATTGCGACGAATATTATATATTTTTTATTTTTTTACTGATTAACGCTAAATTCATCAAATCACTGCAAACATATTAGTTTAAGGTATAAATAATGATCCATTGATCATTCCTTGCAGACTGGACTTTTCCTTTCACTCTGTAAAGAAACATAAAAGTTGAACATAGAGATGAGGGTTAATTCTAGAAGGTTTCTAATATTTAGTAAAAGCAGGACATGAAGCTAATGGTCCTCTACTGAAGACTGTTGTACATGAAGTGTTTGGAACACACAAGAAGAATAAATCTTCCGGTTGAAGGTAAAGAAGCTCAACATGTGTGTTTCGTCTTTCTCATACCACAGCACCACACGTTGAGGGAAGATCATCGCACACATTACCCTCAGCCATCCGAGGTTGCAGGGTAACACAGGACATAAATAACATGATCACATAATGGAAGAACCAAAATAATGATATTTTATATGTGTGCATGTCGATGGTTTAAACAGAGTTTATTGATGAACTGGTTTCTGATGCCGAGGACATTCAGAGGTTGATCTGAAGACCACTAGAGGAGGTCAGAGGTAGCTGAAAGGAACATGGCAGCCTTTTAAAGGTTGAGCTGATCGTATTTGGACCACATCCCCGGCCTTCAGTGACTCTTCAGTGACCCTTCAGTGACTCACAAAAAAACACAAAAAGAGCTTTTCTGACTGGATAGAAGAAGAAAAAAATGAAACATTAAAAGCTAAGATATTTACCTTTTTATTTATGCTTGTGAAATTCCAACCAAGACTTCTTTGTCTTGGTGTTTTGGCGCTTAAGGCGTGTTTTCAGAGCAAAAAGATCGATGTAGAGAATTTGGTTGAGCACAGCCGAGGCACAGAGCAGTCCGCCGTGCAGAGCCCCAGCCAAGCCATTGCAGAAAACGTCCTGACCTGAGCCCAAACAATGACAACTTATGTCAGTCTGCTGTTCTCTAACAGAAAGAAGACAATCTCTCACCTTGTAGCACCTAACCTGACTCCGCCAGATCGATTTGCTCCGCATAACCATCTGGAAACCCTCCGTAGAAGTAATTTTGGGACGGGGCGAAAATACTGGTTAGCTTATTGGCTTATGTTGGTGATAGGCGGGCCAAATAGACCAATCAGATCAACGAAGCATATGACGTAACAGAGCGACGACAAAGAGGAGCCAATTGATAGATCAAACTCTTACCGAAACCAGTCAGGAGAAGAGCAAAAGCATCTTTTTCTCTGAGAAAAGCCTCCAGAGCAGTGTTTTGCTCTTCTTTCAGTGAAGAAATACTCTGTAATTCCGATAAAACTTGCTCGATAGCCACGCTAACGCTAGTTTCATCGGCTGAAGACGCCATGTTCTTTAGACTGAACTGTCGCGCTTCTCGTTGCGTCACACCTCAACCCGCCTCAAAGCCAACGCTGATTGGACGTTCGTTTGGTGAACGGCTCCAGATTTTCTTCAACAGAGAGTCTCCAGACTGATTAGCGAGTGAAACCTTGAAAGCTCCCAAGATCAGGATGGTCTCACGAGGCTAGTAGCACCGGCAGCAGAGAAACAACTGCCACAGTAAATTTGACAATTTAGATTAAAATGTTCCATAATCTTGATTCTAAAATTGAGATTATAGGAAAATAAAATCATTATAGACATGAGGGAAAATATAGAACAACAAAAAAAAAAGATCTAGGCAAGTAGTTTTTATAGTTTTTATTGTTGGGAGAGTACAAATTGTGCGATCATTGCACTTGCCAGGCGGGCAAATGCAATGATCGCAAAAATATTATTTATCACTCAAAATTACTTTAAAATCACCAGCATTCGATGAAAGCGGCCAAGAAGCGTTGCCGGCGCCATTTTTGTTGTTTTGTACACATTCTCACGTAATTTGAAAAAGGTGCGTGATTTGAAAAAGCTGGGTGATTTTCTGCCAGATGGCGTGATTTTTGTCCACCTAGCGGTAATTTTGATGTAGTTACCAAAACCACAAACAAGTTAGAAAGCGCTATTGTACCAGTGTTTTTGTATCATTTTATTCGCATAATCACTCAAAAATCACCTACATTCGAAGAAAACGACCCAAAAGCGTTGTCGGCGCTTTTTTTGTTGTTTTGTACACATTCTCGCGTGATTTGAAAAAGGGTTAGGGGTTGACCTTAAGGATTTTTACCACTTGCGCTAAAGTGATCTAAGTAGGGCCATCTCTCTGCAGAGCTGAGTCCGACATGGTTTTTAGATGTACAGTGTGAGCAGGTAGATCGCATCAGAGCGTCTTGCTGCACAGTGTGAGAACAAACATCGTGAGCTGTGAACTCTCTGAGCTGTAGCTGCGTGCAACGATTGAAAAAATCACACACTGTATGCCGGGCTTTAGAGGCTGATCCCCCCTCATTACCCCATGTACACTACACGACGCACGATCAGGCTGAAAGTCGGCCCAATCGAAAGAGAGTCGGCCAGAAAAGGGCCAAAAATCGTACAGTGTATGCCCGGCTTTAGCCTAAATAAAAATCTTTCATACTAATCCAAGTGTTTCTAAGATATAAATAATCTTTGCCAACCAAAACAGGAAATGTTTAGTCTGATGGTTACAGTTGTTTTCTTTAAACAGACCCAATACAACCACTGTGACTGCACTGAATTAAATGTAAGTGTAAGTGCAGTAACTAGTTCTGAATGATTATAACTGCTTACTGTATCATTTGTCTTTTTTGAAATTTGCTTTAATGTTTTTTCTTTTTCAAAAAAAAACTGAACATTTCCTGTGGATCAGCTTCACAGCAGGAGAACTTAATGAAAACTTGAACGTTTGCCATCTTCAAACATCCCCACCGTCAATGGGAGAACATACTTCATACCTGTTAGGTAGAGGCCACTGACTGGTGTCTGTGGTCGTGTCTTAGCAGCAATCTCTGGACTGAAGCGCTCCAAGTTGTGCTCAGCACCATACATCTCCCCTCTTGGAGCGCCCAGGTAGTGGACATTAGTCAAAGGGGTGGCGGCTTCTACCATCACCACCTAAACATAATCATACAGACAATGTCAGACACCTGAGGGATTTTTAAAACATGGTCATTAAAATCCAAAAAAATAAAAGGTTTTAATAGTTTCAACTAAACTTTTCGGACGAAATGTCTTGCTTATGAAGAGAGGTATTTGTTAGGCCTACATAACAATAAAATCCATTTATAATCTGAATAAGATTGTTTTGCCTTACTTTTCTGATCAAATTGATCTTCAGGTCGTATATGGTTTGTTTCTATATTAATATATATATGATTAATTAGTTATTTCTGTTCGCTGTGTTTTATCTAAGTACAACCATACTACAGTGTCCTGTCCCTGAAGTTCTTGTCCAGCTTATTAGATGTCCAGAAATTTGTTTTTAAAAATTTCGAGCACCGTTTTATGTTTCTTCTTCTATTGTCTTGTTGTAAACCTCTTTGAAAATGTCTAAAAGATAAACTGATGGTTTTGTATCACTCTAAACTCCTGTTAAAAAACAAAACAAATAAAAACCCAACAGTTTCCTACTCTAAGGCAACATGTTTTGTATTGTTTAGAGTGAGTTAGAAATGTTATCCTAGTTTTGCTGTTTGCTTAAAGCTACAGTGTGTAATTTTCAGCGACATCTAGCGGTCAGACTGCAGACTGCAGCAACATGAACGTCTCCCCCCCCACGCTTCTCCCCCCCAACAGTACGGCGAGCGTTACAGGACAAAATGTCTTCCATGACGTCGGAATCACCTACCTTCTCAAGTGATGATGTTTGTTCACATAGATAATTTTACAGATAGTATTTCATTAGTCTGTGTAGGGTATAGATTTCATGTAGACTTTAGATAATAAATATACCCGTTATTTTTTCTACGTCGTTGTGACGTTTTGGCGAGCTGCTTTGCATGGTGATATAAACAGACGAAGTAATTGTAGTCATTAGTTTAACAGCGAGATTGTGTTCACTGGAAGAATATATATTCCCCGTTTACAGAGTCCAAGTCTTGTTTGTGGCACGGGGGTTACAAGGCAAGGAAGAGGGAAAGGAAGAGTGCAGAGAGGCCGGGGTGGGTGTGCAGCCAGTGCCAGGCGATGGAGGGGTGCCAGCGGGGTGACTAGAGCAGAGCGGTGAAGGCTTGAAGATCTCCAAAGGAGCCGGAGAGAAGTAACCGAGGTATATATCCAGAAAATTATTTTACAGAAAATTACTGAGTCATTACCTGTGAAACGTCAGGGACTTTGCTGAATAAGTATACTGGAGAGTAACAGCATCATCACGCAGCATGTTATTGTTTTAGACAGGTCTGAGCATTCTGTACTCAAAAACTGCAGTGATATTAGACAATTGTGTGTGTAGGATTAATTACCTGTCCAAGAGAAAACTGGCAACTTGAGCGTCACTTTGAAAACCTTTTTCCTCCATCAGTGACTTCCATCGTGTAAATGCCGTGCCAATGTTGATCCGTGTTTTTTGTTGTTTCTTGTCACGCTTGCGTTTATTCTCGTCGTGTTTCCGCTTCTTAGATGACGGGGGTTCGGTGTCCGCCGCTTTTCGTTGTGATACAGAGTAGGCATGATCCTCCATTCGTCTGATGTTTGGCCACACAGTGCCAAACAGTTTGCAAAGGCGCTCACGCCTGCCGCCTTGTTCACCTTTCTTGTTACTGAGGCGCAGTATACCTGCTTCTTCTTCTTCTTTGGTTTCAGGCAGACTAAACGCTTCTCAGGCATAATACTGCCATCTATTGTTCAGTACCGTCTCAGTTAATCTCTCTCAACTTGCCGTAGTTATTTTCGAGCGTAATGGGAGATCTCGCAATCGCTAGTTTGTTGCCTCTGCGCTTGCTGTAGCGCAAAGATGTCTGCCCCCATGGCTGCGAGACCCGCTCCTATGTAATTATAAATAACGAATTCTAAGGCAACGCAAATATTAAGGTTAAGAGGCTGAGCTCGTAGATGATGATAAAATAACATAGTTATGTAAAATATATTACATTTCTGACTTTATATCCCTGTAATTATTACACACTGTAGCTTTAAAGGAACATAGTCACATTATATTCCTATGCAGGAGGACCAAAAATCATTTAAACCTGATTAAAATGTTTATATACAGCAACTGTTTGTCCTGATCACTGATCTCTATTTATTCGCTGTTTTGCTGATTGGCCGAAAAAAGTGAAGCCACCTCCTGCCATATTGGTACTCCCCATTCCCGCGGAGATGCCCAGTAAATATGCCTCCCTGTGCAGCATTTGGCTGCAAAAACAAGCAGTTTTCTGGCTGTGGGAAGACGTTCCACAGGTAATTTCACAGTCAGTGGATGAACTAACCAAGAAAATCCATCTATACGCCAATGGATCCTGTAGTATGTAGTGTATCATTTGTCTGGCTATCTTGGACTGATTTGAAGATATTGACTGAGTTAGCCATCAATGTTGTGTCTAAATTTAGAAAATAGAAAGTAGTGTAAATATCAAGTAATTCATTGTTCTGTTATGTAGTCTTTTGAGTGTTTAGTTTTACTTTTCTCCATGTTTTTTAGTCTTAGTGGTTTGATTATCATTTTGTTGCATTTTCTATTATTGTCAGTGTTCCAGGTTTTTCCTTTGTTGCCCTCTGCTGCCCTCTTGTGTTCTCGTTTTTCCCTAGCACCTGTTTTGTTTCTGCTTCTGTGCTCACCTGTTTCCTATCTGCTCATTAGCCCCCTCTTTGTCTCTGTCTCCTTTAAAAGCTCTCTTTGTTCAGTTCCTCTTTGTTCAGTCTGCAGCAAAATCTCTTTTGCTGCAGACTTTAAGCTAATTATCTTGTTCAGATGTATTATTTATATTTAAAGCTTAATGCATAAAAGCATTCAGTGACTTACTGAGCACAAGTAATCTTTACAAGCATTTAATGTTTAAAGATGGCTAAGTTCAGGACTTGAACTAGGCCACTATACCACAATTCTCCTCTGATTCAGGTGGAGGATTGTAGGATCAGTTAGTTATAGTTCAGAGCCTCATATAGGACTGTAGAATGTTTTAAATGACAAAAGAGTCCCTTTAAAACTATGTACGCGGTGGGGGGATTTACCATTAGGCAACACTAGGCAGCTACCTCTAAAACTCTGTTTACCTGTATGGTTAATACAACTATTGCTTATTTGTGCACATTAATTATGTTTTTGATAAAAATGCTTTTGCTAAAATGCCATCAGAAGGCTTATAATATTAAGTGTGTCTCAGCCCCCCCTTCAGTGTCCACCATCTTGGATCAGTCCATTTGCTGCACATGTTCAGAAAGGTCCAAACAGACTGCAGCAAACCATTTGAAAACAAACGATGCAAAGAGCAGTGTTGCCAACTTAGCGCTTTAGTCGCTATATTTAGCCACTTTTCAGACCCCTCTAGCACTTCAACATTACTTCAACAGAAGGTTTCCAGATGGATATGCGGAGCAAATCCATCTGGCGGACTCAGGTTAACATTTAGGGACTTTTCAGACGCCTCTAGCACTTTGATTTCTAAAAAGCTCCTAGCGCCAAATCTAGAGACTTTTTTCTGCTACTGGAGACTTTGGAGACAACATCTAAAAGCAGCAAACTCTGCTCTCCAGAGCAAGTAGATTGGTAACCCCGCCTCCTGCTCTCCTCTATCTTGTCTGCTGTCATGATTCATGCAGCTATTATTTCATCCAAATGAAAAATGGAGAACAGATAAGCAGATCATGGCTTGTCTACAGTGAAAAGAAGGACTGGGTTATTTACTTTGGCCTTTTTGGAAACACAGGAAGGAGCAATAAGCTAAGTGAGCTTAGTGCTTGGAAAAAATCTTTCATTACTTTAGAGACAGCATGAAAAGTCAGCTGAGTACAAAACATAGAGAGGAAAACAAGAAGAAAAGGGACAAGAAGAGAGGGACACAACCTAGAACAGATAATGGATGTCTATTCTATAAACATTTCTCTATCTGTAGAATGGGTCTGTTTTATGTGTCGTCTTCTCAATTCAGAGGGGCCCCTGCCTGTCTTTGCCTAGGGCCCCAAATCTCCTAACTCTGCCCCTGCATGTATGTTTAGTTTGTGCCTTGTAATATGGAATCTCAGCATGTTTATGTGACTGATTCTGGATAAAATGCTCTAGAAATGCAGCACCAAATATTGCCCCACCTTATCTCGGAGCTGGGGGAAGATGGTTAGAGCCCATTCCAGCAGCTCTTTGGCCATGCTCTCCTTCATATCCTGGTATTCTTGGCCTCTCTTGCCAACCTTGGTCTTCTCCCAGTCCTCGAACCACTCATAGCGCGCCATGGTAAGCAATGTCATACAGGACTTACCTGTCAATTATTATACATATAAAAAAAACACAATAAAAAAGGAACATATGAAAGAGAAAGGTTTGGCGTGAGGAGGTTCATTTGGGGTCCAATTTAGCAAAAACACAAAAGTAAAAGAGGAGTCAGTCAACAATGAAGGAGCTGCTCAACAGTTCTGTGGTAAAGTGAATAGTTCTACCTGGTTGTCTGATGGTGGATGATGGGTCTTTAGCAGATGGGAAGGTGATGAACATCATGGGGATGTTTCCTAGAACCTGCTCTCTCTTCAAAGAACAGTATTCCTCCATACTGCCACCATGATAGCGTCCGCCCACAGGGAAATAAACCACACTTAATTCTTCTTGCAAATGTATCCCAACTTTTAACATCTTCACCTTGCAGCAACCAACTTTCCAAATATAAAAGTGCTATAAAACTATAAAGGAGATGCAAAAGGAAGAACTTTTAATTTTACACATAATAATCTATCCCTCCAGGTCTATAATCTACGTAACTACATTTTGCACCATTTTACAGTTGTATCTCTTTACCAGAGGTTTCTCTAAGCTTTACACTTTACAGACACACGTTTAGCCTGTTTTACTTCATGTGAAAAATCAATTCAGTCAGATTAGATCATTGTAATATGTTTTTAAGTCTCCCCACATATTTTCAGTTTTGCCTTTGAAATTGTTTCTTACTTCATAGGCGAGTTTATGGTGGAGATCTTTTTTTAATGCAAGAATGTGGATGATTTTATTTCCCTACTTAAATCAAGAGCAAATCTATTGCTTGTGTCAATCATTCTGTGCATCTGTGAATCTAATCCTTTATGTGTGGGGATTGTTTTATGTTTGCGTGAATCTTGCTGTGCACGTGTGGATCTTGTCCTCTGCATGTATGAATCACATATGTGTATTTATGAAAACTGAGACCAATCTACCTCCATATCCTTACTTTTCATCAACATATTTTGCATCTAGTTAAGACAGTTCCAAATATGCTATATGCCCAGCTCCACTACTTTCTGGACTTCAGCCAGCTCCTTAGGCTCCTTTCTTTCATTACTGCATAATCTGATTTATTATGATGCCGGTAACCATGACAATAACAGCCAGGAACACCTGGATTAATCAGTTTATCCAGTAATGAAGGACAGGAAACAAAGGAGCTGGATAAAGTAGTGGAGTTAAGCGTACAGCTGATTTGGTCTGATATGAAAATTGAGAATCTGATCAGCTGCATGTTACTCTAGCTCTCGCCAGGATCAAATGATTCTGAATGAGTTAAGCTGACCTCATCGGCATGTTTGCCTTAACTTAACGTGATGTATTTCTGCTAATTTTAGTTTTTCTGTCTGAATAATTTTGTTACTTTGAACACAGCTAATGTTTATTTTCTAAGTAGTAACTTTAATGTTGCTTTTCACTACTTAATATTACTTAAAGGCCATACCTACAACTTCTTTAACAAAGCATTTTTTCCAATAAATAATGCTTCCACAGAATACCCAGAGTGGTGCAGATTATTAGTGTTAATTTACAGCCAGGCATACACTGTAAGATTTTTTGCCCTTTTTGGGCCGATTCTCTAGTCTTGTTAGAATTTTTCGACCAGGCCTACTTTCACAGGGGGTACAGGGGGTAACGAGGGACGATCAGCCTTTAACTACCACCTCCACATCAGGAATCGTAAGGTTGGGAGAAAATCAAACATGTTTGAAAGTCAGTCGGCCGTCGCTAGGTGGTCGTGGGCAAATTGCTCAATGAGCAAACAAGGATTCTTCTTGCTGATGAAGGTTCTCAGTCATCCAGGTCAAAGTCATTCCGTAAAAATTCAAAAAATATCCACTGGACTTGGTTTTCAAGATTTGAAGACATTTCGCCACCTCTCCAGGAAGCTTTCTCAATTCAAATGTCTGGATCCGCAGTGAGTTTGAGTCTTATATAGACAACGCCTTGTATCCTTTGATAGTAGACTTCAGTCTACTATCAAAGGACACAGGGCAGAAGAGATTCTTAGGAATGCGCACAAAAAGCTGCTTAGTGAGAGGATTAGACAGACTCAGTTCACAATTGAAGCTATCTCGCACAAAATAGATCAGATAAGGCAGAAGCTATCCAAACTTCTCCCCGAAACCTTGTTTGAAGAAGTTGCTATTTTGGTCAATAAAGCCAAGCTTTCACAACATCATAAAACAAAAGAAAGACAAAAAGCCAAATTCAAAAGATTACAACAGAAAGCAGCAATTAAACAAGAGAGCAACATGACTCAGGAGGATAACATCAAGGTTGAAGACAAGTGGGTAAAAAACCTATCTAGCAGACCACTGACAAAACCAGAGATGGATGTACTGAGTAAAGGCCTGAATTTTGCCATTGCTCCACAAGAAGTACCCATTGTGGAACTGATCACGGCCACTGAATCGGCCATCAGGAACAACAACTTGGCTGAAACGGAGGCAGAGCAACTCAGAATGAAGGTAACAGCCACCCTGTCCAGCGCCAAACCACCTCCTTCCAACCTCACACCCCAGGAAATGAAAGCCATAACATCCCTGAGCCAGGACCAAAGCATCACCATATTACCAGCAGACAAAGGAAGATGCACCGTAGTCCTCAACACCTCAGACTACCAAGACAAAATTATCACTCTCCTGAAGGACACTAATACGTATGAATCCTTAAAAAGAGATCCAACCAGCGCCTACAAAAAGAAAATAATAGACTATCTCAAACAACTTGAAAAAGACAAGGTAATTAAGAGCACAGCCTATTTCAGATTATATCCAGGGGAGGAAATTCCATGCTTATATGGACTTCCAAAAATTCACAAAGAAGGGGCACCACTCAGGCCCATCGTCAGCAGCATTAACTCAGTAACATACAACATTGCTAAACAGCTTACTAATATCTTAGCTCCCTTGGTGGGGAACACACCACATCACATAGAAAACTCCAAAGACTTTGCCAACAAAGCCAAACATTTAAGGATGGCTCCAGGAGAAACCCTGGTATCGTTTGATGTTACTTCACTTTTCACATGCATACCTATAACAGAGGCAGTGGAAACAGTCAGGACACGTCTTGAACAAGATAGTGATTTAAACAACAGGACTAATTTCACTCCGGACCAGATCTGCACACTACTGGGCCTTTGTCTTTCCACAACCTATTTCAAATTCAGAGGTAATTTTTACAGACAGAAGCATGGCTGCGCAATGGGATCTCCAGTATCACCAATTGTAGCCAATCTTTACATGGAAGAAATGGAAAAGAGAGCTTTAGACACTTTCAATGGAATACCACCAAGCCACTGGTTTAGATACGTGGATGACACTTTCGTCAAAATCCAACTAGAGGAAGTGGAAGCTTTCACCAAACACATCAACTCTGTTGACCGTAACATCAAATTCACCAGAGAGGATGCCAAGGACAACAAACTACCCTTTCTGGACTGTCTGGTGAGCATGGAAGGGGATGGAATGAGTGAAATGGAGTTCTTTCTGTAGAATTCACAGACCATAGTAGCCACGTTTGTTCAGCCATGTCTTTGTCCAAATATGTCGTCGCCTTTTCTTTTTAGGGCTTTCGGCACAAAATTGCCCAAATTGCCAAGGTAGCGCGTTTCACTCTAGTGAGCTTCATATTCCTCTTCTACTTATTTGGCTTCCGGATAGACGGGTCCCAGTTGCGCTATCTCACTGCGGAGCTTTTAGACGTACAGTGTGAGCAGCTAGATCGCATCAGAGCGAGAACAAACATGGAGAGCTGTGAACTGCAGTTTTGTCGTACAGTGTGAGCTGTAGCTGCGTGAAACGATTGAAAAAAAAATTGTACAGTGTATGCCCAACTTTACTAGCGAAAAAAATCCATCTAGAATCTAACCAATTGTTTTAAGAATGTTGACGGGTCCAAAATATTAAAATATTTACTTCTGGTTAGGAAGCCAACATCCTGAAAGGATTCTGCATCAATAGGAACAGCAGGTTGAAGTCCTGTAAGCTGGAGTTTAGGTATTACCTAATAGCTCTGTGATAGAGCATATTTGTGACATTTATTTTTCAGATTCAAGCCAAAAAAACAAACAAAAACGAAGTAAAAGCAGTTTGAACATCAGTCAAGACTTTGAAAGCTGGGAGCAACTTAAGGAAACAAAGAGGCTCAGAAGCTACATAGAAGTTTCAGCTTTCCTTCTGAACAGATAATGTATTAATTGATTAAGTGAACCTGGTGATTGGTTTTGGAAGTAGGTAAAAGCGCGTGTGTGCCACCTAGTGGCCTGGAGGAAATAAACTTGTAGTTATTTCGTTAAAGTAAAAAGTATGGTTCCATAAAACTATTCCTAAAACGCATATTGTTCTCGAATATTCCTCCACAAATGTAACTGAGTAAAAGTAACTACTCAATATCCACCTCTGCCCGTTAACCCTGCAGATTTATACTCAGAAAGCAGGTCGTCTGCATGTGTGTCTCAGTGAATGTAGATGTGCCTCCACCCCCACCTTCTACTAATTAGGCAAAACTGGTGTAAAACGTTTGTGCAACAAAAATTTTAAAGATATGAAGAAATGTTTTTAGAGGTCATCAAAGGTCAACCAGCCCCCCCACCTTCTTCAAATCAGACGAAATGGGTGTCAGGCAACCAGATTGTCATATGTGCTTCTTTGGCCTTGAATATATTAATGAAAGGTTAAAGGTCAAAAGGTCAACCAGCCCCTCCATTTTTATGAAATCAGACAAAATTGGTGTCAATCACCTCGGCTTTGGTTGTGCTGGTTTGTGCAGCAAAAACTTTCATTTGTTCTCCTATGATTCTAAAAATGTAAAGAAAAATATTCTCAAGGCGTCATCAGAGGTCACCCACCCCAGTGGTCCTGCTCATATTTATAAAAACAAATAAATAAATAAGTTGTCAATCAACTGTGCTATGTTTGTGCTGGTTGGTGCAGCAAAATTTTTCGTTTGTGCCACTTCAATTTAATTATCCATATTTATAGGTTTGCAACTTATAATTTATAAGATGTAAGATATGAAATTTCAGCATGAACAGATGTTTACTGACCTTTGATGACCTCTACAAACTATTATTTATGTCATTAAAATGGTAGCAGTACAAAATTTTATATATTTTAAAATGTGCATTTTAAATATATATATTTTAAACATATATATTTAAAATACACTCACCGGCCACTTTATTAGGTACCCCATGCTAGTAACGGGTTGGACCCACTTTTGCCTTCAGAACTGCCTCAATTCTTCGTGGCATAGATTCAACAAGGTGCTGGAAGCATTCCTCAGGGAGTTTGGTCCATATTGACATGATGACATCACACAGTTGCCGCAGATTTGTCGGCTGACCCTACCATCCAAATGTCGCAGCAGAAATCGAGACTCATCAGACCAGGCAACGTTTTTCCAATCTTCTATTGTCCAATTTCCATGAGCTTGTGCAAATTGTAGCCTCAGTTTCCTGTTCTTAGCTGAAAGGAGTGGCACCCGGTGTGGTCTTCTGCTGCTGTAGCCCATCTGCCTCAAAGTTCGACGTACTGTGCGTTCAGAGATGCTCTTCTGCCCACCTTGGTTGTAACGGGTGGTTATTTGAGTCACTTTTGCCCTTCTATCAGCTCCAACCAGTCTGGCCATTCTCCTCTGACCTCTGGCATCAACAAGGCATTTCCGCCCACAGAACTGCCGCTCACTGGATGTTTTTTCTTTTTTGGACCATTCTCTGTAAACCCTAGAGATGGTTGTGCGTGAAAATCCCAGTAGATCAGCAGTTTCTGAAATACTCAGACCAGCCCTTCTGGCACCAACAATCATGCCACGTTCAAAGTCACTCAGATCACCTTTCTTCCCCATACTGATGCTCGGTTTGAACTGCAGGAGATTGTCTTGACCATGTCTACATGCCTAAATGCACTGAGTTGCCGCCATGTGATTGGCTGCTTAGAAATTAAATTTTAACGAGCAGTTGGACAGGTGTACCTAATAAAGTGGCCGGTGAGTATATATTTTAGTATTTTAAGTATTTCATATTTTAAATTTTACATTTTTTTATAACAAAAATGTTCATTTGTACTGCTGTCATTTTGAGCTGCTGCAAGGAGTATAACCAGCCCTTTACTAAGCACTCTTTAAGGGACTTTGTGTAGAAATAAAAATTAAATCTGAATAAACAAAACCTTTTCTTTAACTGGTTAAACCAATGTCTAGTGGTCTATCAGAAAGCAAACATACATGGAGTCCAAGTCATTGCCTTTATACATCCAGATGTTTTTAGAATTGATGTTCAACTCCTCCTTGGTTCCATCCAGACCCACAAAGACCAAAAATGAGCCCATACCATGTCGAAGCATTCCCAGCAGTGACTGGATTTCTGCAAACATAAAATAATTGTATGTAGTAAAAGCAGAGTGGCCAGAAAATCGGACGTAAAGTTAAATGAGGAGACATTTTACCTGGGTTTTCCTGTATATGCCGAGGCAGAAATTTCTGGAAGGTGTTAAAGATTCCAGCATCCGAAATGATGACGGGGGCATGGACTTCAATCTCTTGTTGTCCTTTAAGCACTGTCACGCCTTTTACATGTACCAAAAAAACAAAAACAAAACAACATGGTGTATTTTAAAGCAAATATCAAAAGTTGCTAACAGTGAACACATTTGGATATTTATTTTAGCTTCGGATGCTCAGTCAAACTGACAAAAGCTACAATGTATAAAATGAAAATATAATTAAGTCAAATATTAAGGTTTAGCAAAAAAATTCAGGCTTCCACATCATAAACAAACCTAAAAACACCCCTCTGTTTTAATTTCCGTACTTTTTGAAAAAATTCCAGTGAGCTGCAAGGGAGATGGCGCTAACGAGCCACGGGTTGGTGACCCCTGGGTTAGTTATGCACTGGTAATGGTTATTTTTAGGGTTAGGGAACAGAAAGGTTTTTAAAATGACAAAAAATCAATGGAAGTTAATGGGAGTCACCACTTGCTACTCACTAGAGACTGACATTTTTTCCGGAATCCCACGGGTCAAGGGATTCCCGTGGGATTCCCGTGGGATGGGAGTCAGTATTAGTAACGATCACGTGATTGGGACGGTACAGGATTAAACATTAACGGGAGCAGACGGGAGCGGGAGCAAACCAATAGTAAAAAAAAAAAAAAACTAGGATCGATGCCAAAAAATAAAATAAAATAGAAAGAAAAAAAATCCAGTACTGGCGCCACCATTTTGTAGTTTTTTTCCTTGAAGCCTACACTATAATGCGAGTCAAAAAAACTACACGACCCAAAAACCAGCAGTGCTTCCGCTCTGAGTTTTTCACCTGCGCTCAAAAACAACAATGGAGGGACCAACAGTTACTACAGTTAGAAACAGGAACTTAACTGACCCTTCATAGAAACTCAGATTCAATGTATTGGCAGAAATCTTATTGAAGACAACAAGAATGGGAGCGGTGAAGGAGCGGGAGTCATTCTGAATGGGAGCGGGAGTAATTTCACCAGGAGTGGGACGGGAAAGGATTTAGATTTCTACTCTGGCCCGGGATCGGGAGTGGGATGGGACAGGAGTGAAAATACACTCCCGTGTCAGTCTCTACTACTCACTACATATAGCAAAATGAGCGTGTTAGTGTGTGTCTTGGCACTCCTTGTGATCACACACACATATTTTATCCAAGCGTATGTGTTTTTCATACATTGTGGGGCCCATTTTCTGGAAATGCAACACGCTGTGGGGTCTTACACAACTTTCCTGAAACTTAGACAGAGGTCTTCCCTTTCCTGCTTACCACAGGCCTTTCCCTCACTGTTAATGAGGATGCGTTGAACAGGCGACCTGACCAGTACTTCACCACCTGCCTGCTGAATGACAGGAACCATGTGGAAGGCAATCTCACTGGAACCCCCATATGGATAGTATGCCCCACGTTTGTAGTGATGGAGAAGGAGAGCATTGATGAGAAAGCTTGACTCTTTAGGAGGAACACCTACAATGGAGAGGACATACAAACAGTTAGTAGTCCGAGTAGTGCATAACTTATAAGTACTTTGAGAGTAAAGATCACCATAGAAAAGGTAGGCAGAGAGAGCCTGCAGGTCTTTGTTCTGAGTGAGTCGGGACATCATTTCTGAATGCCTGGTTGTTGCTAGTTGAAAAATAGAAGATATTTTATCCAATAGGCCCGTCCAAATCAGAAAGTTCACCAATGGGTAGGGCAGCATCTTCAGTATGGCAAGAAGGGGAGCTCTCCGTGAAGCGTGCTACAGAGGAACAAAGTCTGATTTATTCATCAGAATATGATCAAGCTTTCCTTTCAAAGCATCTTTCAATGCTGACGTACAGCTAAATTATTTTATTTAAACAAAGACGCTTCTATGAAGTGAGCTAATGGAGTTAGCTCACTTCATAGACGCTTGTTTCCATATCTCCCTTGTAAAAAGAGATTGTAATTCTCATTAGGGATTTCCTGATTAAATAAACATATAATAAATAAAGCAAAAATCTTATTTTGGTGTGCTAATGTATTTCAATAATGGAGATTTTGAGATGCCTTCCTATCATATGCAGGATGTGGTCTCCAAACATCACTTTGGTATAATTCCTGATGCACATGTTCCTCAAATCTAATTAAAAGGCATTGGCATTAATGTAAAACCATAAATAGAATTTACTACTGAATGCTATCACCAAGTCCCCAAAGCGATGGATTAAATTACAGATATGCACCAGGCTGCACTCATAACCACATACCTTTTATAGGAGATTTTAATGTAGGGTAAAAAATAAAAAAGTAAATCACAACTAAAACATCCTAGTTGACTGAACAGATCATCCTCCATTGGACTCCCGTAATGAAACGGTGTTGATCAAATGCTTTTTTTTCGCAGTTTAGCAGCAAATAAATAATTCTCCAATTTAGTTTCAATCAAATAAAATTTGATAAACATTTTACAACAACTGCCTTTAGTTTTTTTTTAAGTTTTCCAAAATGTGTTTAAGATTTAGTCTTTAGATCTTAGGTGTTCAACTAAATAGTTGCTTATCAAACGGATTTACTCTCACTGTCACTGTTTTATTGAACACGCACATAAACTTAAAACTATCAGAATAAATATATGGTAAGTGGCCTGTGCTTGTATCGTGCTTTATCAAGTTAGGAGACTTGACTAAAGCGCTTTACACTACATTCAGTCATTCATCCATTCATTGGAGGAACCGACAACCGTCCGATTGCAGGGCAAACTCCTACACCCGACACCACTGTCACCCAAATAAAACTTTTAATGATTTAGTTCAAAATAGATGCTTTCACAACCACTTAAAGGGACATTTTACACACAGCTTTCCTCCTTGTTTCAAATGTGGAAATATTAGAAATAAAACATGACTTGTGTGTAAAAACCCAGAAAACATACCATGTTTCTCATTGGTTCAACATGTGGATAATCTGGCATGTATGAAATATGGATCTTATGTTTTTGGATCCGTTTTTTTCACATGGGCTTTTAGTTGTCATTACATGTTTTATAACTTGCTGCACTGCAAAATATGGAAAATATTCATAGAATAAGTGTATTTGGTCTTAATTTGATCATCCATCCATCCATCCATCCATCCATCCATCCATCCATCCATCCATCCATCCATCCATCCATCCATCCATCCATCCATCCATCCATCCATTCATCCATCCATCCATCCATCCATCCATCCATCCATCCATCCATCCATCCATCCATCCATCCATCCATCCATCCATCCATCCATCCATCCATCCATGTTCTTCTGCCTATCTGAGGCCGGGTCACGGAGGCAGCAGTCTAAGCAGAGATGTCGAGACTTCCTAATGCATGCACACCTCCTCCAGCTGCTCTGGGGGGACCCCGAGGCGACACCAGGCCAGCTCAGAGACATAGTCCCTCCAGTGTGTCCTGGGCCTTCCACGAGGCCTCCTCCCAATAGGACATGCCTGGAACACCTCCCGAGGGAGGCGACCAGGAGGCATACGAAACAGACCCAAGCCTCCTCAACTGGCTCGTTTTGACGTGGAGGAGCAACGACTCTACTCCGAGCTCCTCCCTGGTAACTGAGCTCCTCACCCATTCGGGAAGGGTGCACGCAGCCACCCTGAGAAGGAAACTAATTTGGTCCTATCATTGGTTAGTATCTGTGTTATTCCTGGAACATCATCATTATACACACCTTCATCAGTTTCATGAACTCATCAATGGCCTCCTCTTCCTCTGGGAACTGCTTCTTCAGAGAAGCGGCCATCTCGGCCTTTCCTGAATGAATGTGGTATTCCCTGAAAACAACCGGGAATATGAGGACAGTAAGGATGGGATCATAAACTGCTGCTGAAGGCAATGATTTGTTACTGAACTGTAAGTCCTTTAAAGTGATGTAACGAGAGTTTGCAGAGTTCATAAAGAAGAAAAAGAAGAAGACAGAAACCTAAAGGAAAAGTCCGGTCATAATCAGAAAATTCAAACTTCTGAAAGTCCTTTAAATATGAAATTATTCCATCCTGTTCAATAAATGATCAGTGTTTTTAATTCAGAGTAATTTCCATGTGAATGTGCTTTACTGGAGGCATCCATGTTTGTCAAAGAACACTACTGCCACCTACTGGTTAGTGACGTCACGGTGCGGTATCGGCTGTTGATCAAGTCCCAGTGCTGTATCTGGTGTTTGTCACAACGCGCTATTATCCAAGTCATCTTGAAAACATTCTTCTTCCAAATGTTGGCTACATATTACGGGTTTTTTCTCTGGCCAGAAGTTCGATGGCAAATCCTCCCTCTTCAAGTTGGCGATCCAACGACCAACCCGTCCGTGGAGGATCAGGAATCAGAAAGGTGGAATAACTCTTTTTTTCACTTTTACCCGACGTATTCCAGCACCCAATACACGTGGGCATTGTCAGTTTAACTATAGCTCTGGTACCGTGACGTCACTGCCGGGCGATGTCAGGAGGGAGGTATTACTATATTTGGGCAAAAATGGCCGCTCAGTGATCGCAACGAAAATTGTTGTTTTAATTTTTTAAATGATCACCACATATGTATCAGTTTTAGGTATAAATAATGATCCATTGGTTATTCCTTGCTGACCGGACTTTTCCTTTAAAGGGTTTTGGTTGAGGGGGGGCTACACCTGCACTGGCCAGGCTCTCCAAAAAGGACGGTATCATAATGTTGCTCCAGCTTCACAAACTGCAGCTGTCCCTCTGTGATCTGATCCACAGCAACCTTCAACAAGCTGTTCTCATGCAGTTGGCCCAGATAGTGGATACCTGATGGCAGAAGAAAAGGGGAAGCTTACTGATGCAACACCAAGTCTTTACTGGTCAGTTAAAATCTTAAACATAAAAGTTCCCTGAAAAAGTTTTGTTTTTTATCTGACAGAAAGAGGATTATCTCTATTTATGCATCAAGTCCCTCCTTTTCATCGGATTCTTATCAAATTCAAAGACTTTCCATAGTTTTTGGTTGAGGATTTATAGAACAACATGACAGAAGATCTTAGTTTTCAGGCATTTAATAATCTCTGATTCTTTTTCAAAGAAAGTCAGACAGTTTTTGTGAGCTTTACTCCCACATCCTGTTGTTTTTATAGAAAGGCTCTGTACTCTGTATCTGCTGACACTTTTATTGTTCTTGATTAGAATCATTACTGTTTTAATGAAGTCTACCAATATAATTCTATAGTCTATACCAAATAATTTTGGACGATAAACCCATTTTCCCTTTTCAGTAAATAGACCTGATCTCTAAGAACATAATCCAACTCCCTCCAGAAATAAAACCTTTTCTGCCAGAAAACATTCCACTCTCTACTTGTAGGTGTTTGCCGTGGAAACCTACCAACATCAAACTCAAAGCCCTCTTTCTGGAAGGTGTGTGTGCAGCCTCCGGCATGATCATGTTGCTCCAGGACTAAAACTCTCTTCCCGGCTTTGGCTAGAAGGGCTGCAGCTGTCAGACCTCCAATGCCGCTGCCAATCACCACCGCATCCAGATTGGGAGGAACCCGGTCCACACGAAAACCTAAAGGAAAGACATTTTCATCTTCATGTCGGAGAAACTGCTGAGGGGTGGAGCACATTTCTTTGTGTGTGCACTGCAAAAACAGTCCAGAAATAAGTACAAAATTCTTAAATTAAGTATATTTACCCTTAATTTGAGCAGGTAAATAATATGATCTGCCAATGGAAGGAGTATTTTTACTCTTAAAATAAGATAGTTAGATAATATTTACTTGAAATAAGACGATAAAATAGTTTTTTCTTATTTTAAAAGGAAATTCTCTTGTTCCATTGGCAAAGTGTCTTACTTACCTCCTCAATTCAAGGAAAAACGCACTTATTTTAAGAAAAAATTACTTATTGAGATTTCTATTTTTTGCAGTGTGTGAAAACAAATCAGAAAAAAAGATGAATAGTTGTAGTAAATAACTCCCTTTGCATATTCAATACTGAATCTGATTTAATTCTATTCAGTTTATTTCTATAGCACCAATTCACAATACATGTCATCTCAAGGCACTTTACAGTTCACCAGATCATACAGTCACATTGATTCAAAAGTTTTTTATCGAAGGAAAAACAACTAATTGGATCGACTCATTGACTGGAATACAGTCCCTCACACCAAGCACGGTTGTAGTGACAGTGGAGAGGAAAAACTCCCTTTTAACAGGAAGAAACTTCCAGCAGACTCAGTGTGAGCGGCCATCTGCTGAGGCCGACTGGGGTTCAAGGAGACAGAAGCAGAGACTCTTCTTTAGTCGGTCTTAGAAGCAAAGTCTGGAAGAAAACTAACAAAACTACTGCTCATACTGAGCACGATTCTGCTTCACGTTCCTCACTCTTCAGGTTTTCTACGCTACTGTCGCTACATGCATGCAAGGTATGGAGATTGCTGCAAAATCAACGGCAAAATGTAAGCAACCATCTGCTGTGGCTCATCCAGGAGAAATAAATCCTTCAAATAACTGGAAGAAATCACAAAACTTTAAACTAACTGTTTGAATGACTTGACACTATAAAGTTATTCCAAAAAACAAAAAAAAAACAGTTCCTTCTGTTCTGACTCTTGAAGGAGGCGGTCGCATTGTCCTGCTGCTCCTACACCTCCCTGCTCTGTCCCTGCTTTGCTGTGTCTTGTCTTTTCTGAGCAGTCTCTCATACCACCCAAACTCAAAAAATGAAATGAAATTGATCAAATTTATTCAACTGGAAGGCAGGGAAAAGGGGACTCATCCTGTCCTGCCGGGACATACTTCATGGGATACACCATGGACTCCTGGAAGGCTTGGGGGATGGTGTGTTTCACAATGTTGTCAGTGGAGGATACTGAAGATGTATGTAGTTTTGGCTCTATGATACTCAGATTTCCCCTGTTTGGATTTGGAGGATTCCTGATGTATCTACAATTACAGAGGATGTCGGTGGCAATTTGGGCATTGATCAGGCTCCCGGCAGTGGTTGACGCAATCACAAAGGCTGTGAACAAGCAAGATCGGGAGATGACCCGCATGCTGGGTGCGATTGAACGCAGGCTGGCTTGAACTTAAAGCTGAGATGGGATAATATCTTGGCGGCGCATGCTCGCTTCAAGGCGGGAAAGCCCAACAAATTTGGAATATTAGTCTTGCCACAAAGAGCCACCAAGGGAAACTCAAGGCTGAAGGAAAATTCCTGTGCAGCCTGATCTCAAAACAACAAGTGTTATCCTGGATTCGGCCTCCCCCTTGTATCTAATCTCCCCTGGATGTTATGGTGAAAGGGCACAAATGAACTGCTCCCCCCCTCCCCTACCGCGAACATCTGTTGACGTAGGGCTGGGTACCGAACATCGGTTCTTTTATGGTACCGACCGAAATGCTTCGGTTTTACAGAGTATCGAAACATGCCTCGTCTTTCGGTGCCAAGTTTCGGTGATTGGCTGTAACACTTAACGTGATTGCGTCATCCAGGAAAAATACACAGGTGGTCACGCCTACAGCCAGGGTTCATGTGTATCTGTTGTGAACTGGTTGCGAGCGTCGTAGAACCCCTTTAAAAAGGTCAAAAGTGTGGCTTCACTTTATTAAGACTGATGCCAATAGTGCGCAATGCAATACATTGTGCACGGAAACAATTTAACAGCAGAAAGTTGCGCGGTGTTTGACTGCAAGAAGAGCGGACCGCAGCCGGCGCGACCATCCTCCTCTCATCAGCCCGTGGGCAGAGCAAAGCCAGAGCGGAGTTAACACCGGACGCAGCAAGAGCAGCAAAATCGCGTCTGCTGCTTCCTTTTTGCTGCTTGTACCAGTTTAGTTCTGACATGCGGCTGAAGAAGCTTTGCTGCTCTGGCTGCGCGGTCGAAAAGTGGCTCTGAAGCGCGTTGGGCGGAGCTACTCTATCCTTTATTTGCCTTGCAGCTATATTTGCTGTGATCAGTGGGAATAAAGTAGTTTTATCATGTTTTATTATGCACCAAAGGCAGCGTTCTGAGGCATGCATGTAAATCAGTAAATCCATTCCCCTCTCAGCCCCCCACCCCGATGTATGTGATGAACGGTTTGTACTGAAACTGAAATCTCGATTGAAATGTAAATTTTAGTTGACAATAAAGATTGATTGATTGATTGATTGGTTGGTCTTTGTTTTCAAGTTTGAAGTCGTTTTGTTTCCCATCCAGGAAGCTTTTTTAATTCAAAATGTCAGAAATAGTGTTGAGTTTAAGGCTTTATATAGTGGACCATAAACATAGCCTGGTTTTGGCTTAGAAAACATGCAAAATGAACCTGACGAATGGGTCCACCCCTTAGGAATGGAGGTTGTTTGGGTTCTTTGTTAGCCTGCAATACCTAATACCTGACTATGTCTCAGAAAGGGGGGTCATTAGTGGGAATTGTTGGCCTGGCTGAACAGGCCAGGTCTTCTATACGCTATCAAGTGCCTTGAAACAGTAAATAGAAGTTCATAAACTAGTGTGTCGATAAGATAATCTGTGATTTTTTATATATAAGTTGATTTAAGATGGTAGAAGTCTATTTTGACCCCAGAATAACTTTATCCCCTCTAAATACATTTAAATGAGTAAACAAAGAGGCGCTAAATTAAATATGTGAAAGTAAAAATTTAATACAGGAAATATAATTAGGATGAATTTTGCAAGAAAAATGTAAAATCACATAGCATTTTATTTTGGTAAGTCATAGCAGCATGAATTTACCCTCGCCTTGTTATGGATCCACAGAAATGTATTCTAATTGATCATCATCAAAGGCATCCAGTAATAAAGTACAAATGATTCATTAGCTTACTTAAAGAGAAATGTTGGCTATCTATACTTTATTGGAGTAATTGTTTTACTTTTTACCTCTACTCTTTACTTTTTTTTTTCCAATTATCTCTACTTTCTACTCCTTAAACTGAAAAACCGTTTTCTTTCATTTAAGCAAATATTCGTTACGGCCCGTTGGTATTTAGAAAAAATAAAAACCATCAAAATAATTTGTTTCAATTAATTTCATTGTGGTTGGACGAGGTGCTGCCCTAACTTGCTTTTCACTACATATACCAAAACGAATTATGAATTCATTTAAAATGAATTAGTTATACAACTAAGAAAATGACGTCTAAGGAAGTTATCATCCAGAATTGTAGAAAATGTTCTTTTAATAGGGTAGAGCAGTTAAGCTTCTGTCCTTAACATTTCTTCCTGCATTATTTTAACTTTTATAATTTAAGTAGTTTTAAAAATGGTACTTTTACACTTTTAATGGAGTAAAAACATCAAGTTAATCCTCTAACTTCTACTAAAGCATTTTTTAATTAGTAGGATTTATACTTCTACTTGAGTAATAAACATTAATACTTTAGAAACCTCTGATCCTTGTAGTTTTAATACCCTTCCAAATTTGGCTTCAAGCATTTTTATACTGATCATAAACAAAAGTTGTTCAATTAACTGTAATAGATCACAGAAAAAATGTTTTGTGAATTTTGCTTTGTGTCAAATTTTGTATGTTTCTTTAAAACATGGTTTGATTATATGACATCTTTTGCATTTAATAGCTGCTTAGCTCAGCTGCTTATTAATTACCATGTCCTTTTTAAAAAGGCTCCTGGATTTGATTCACTTTCCTACAAACATTGAAGGATTTCTGAAGGGTGTCTTTTAGTTTCTCAATACTGTGCATTGTTCACTGAATGGATTATCTATTAAACAACTATCTGCTAAAGACTAAAAAAGAGAGTTACCTGAGAGTATATGGGATATTACATGAAGCTGTACCAAAATATTACTGATTATGTATAAACAGTAGTTCCTGCGGGTATACACTAGAAAAAAATCAAAATCTAGATAAGTAATTTTTTCTTAAAATATCTGCATTTGGTCTTAAAATGAGGACTTTTTGCAATTAGAACAAGAAATTTTACTTTGAAATAAGAAAACACTATAGCTTTGATTTATTTCAATTGCATGTTATCTAATTATCTTATTTTAAGAGTAAAAATACTCATTCCATTGGCAAATAATCTTATTTACCTGCTCAAATTAAGGGTAAATCCACTTAATTTAAGAAATTTTTTACTTATTTCTAGATAATTTTTCCCGTGTATAAACACTACAGCAAATTAATGCACTGCAAAAACGATCTAGAACATTTCCTAAATTAAGTGTATTTATTGTTAATTTGAGTAGATAAATAAGGTAATTTGCCAATGGAATCAGTATTTTCCTCTTAAAATAAGATAATTGGATAGCATGCACCTGAAATAAGATAATATAATTGTTTTTTTCTTATTTCAAATGTAAATTGTCTTGTTCCACTGGCAAAGTGTCTCACTTTCCTCCTCAAATTACGAAAAAATCACTTATTTAGATTTCATTTTTTTGCCGTGTGCTAAATACATGATGATAGAAACTGTTATGAAGCAAGTTAAGATAAATACAGTTAAAGTTCCAGCATTTACAGCCCTCTTTATAATCAAGATCATTTTCTTTCTTTTACCTCTCTTTAGTCTGGCATCCCTCTCTTTGCTGTCGGTGACCAGGGGTCCCGGCGGTTTCAGACACTTCTCACTGAACAGCTTATAGCGCTGCCCAGTGTTTAGGAGCAAGAAGCTGACCAGGGCCACCAGCAGACAGATCAGAACGCCAAACAGCCACCACATGGCAGGGAAGAGCATCACAGAGGCAGGAGAGGGAATGCATAGAGGAAAAATATAGAGGGTAGAAAATATATACTGGGGAGGGGTTAAGAGGAATGGGAGAGGAAGAGCAAAGCGGTCTGAAAAGACTCCACGAAAGAAAAAAAACAATCAAAAATAGATTTTATGGGGAAGATGTGAATGCAAGATGACATCAAGAAGTCATTAAGATGTGGTAAAACATGTGATGATCAGGATTTTAATCAGAACGTACAAAATCAGGAGAACAGATTCTGCATGGCAGGACATGAGACCAGCAGGAAAGAGAGAGCTGCTTGTTCCTCAGACCTTCAGTGGGGAGTCCTGACCAAAAAAAGGCCGATTCTAACCCAGAAACCGACTGCCTGGAGATAAAGGTTCCCCTTTCAAAAAATTTGAACTGTAAAACAGGAATTATCATGGCTCCTCCAGCTTTTCACGCTTAATGCAAAATAAATCAAATGGAGGCTGAGAAAAGGAAGATGGTTTTCCTCATTTCTTCTGTATTTGACAAAATACATCAGAGAAAATTGTACCCGTTATTTTGCATATCTACAGGGAGTTATAATTTCCACAAATTCATAGGGCAAAAAAAAAAAACTGGCACAATACAAAATTGCTCTAGGAATAAGTAAAAATTAATAAATAAAATAAGTGTATTTACATTTAATTTGAGCAGGTAAATAAGATGATCTGACAATGGAATGAGCATTTTTTAAAATAATTAGATAATATGCACATGAAATAAAACAATGCCATTGCTTTTTAATTTTACTTTGATTGTAAAATGTCTTGTCTTCAATTCAAGAAAAAATGACTTATTTAAATTTTTGCAGTGAGAGAAAATGTAATAATTTCATAACGACGTGGTTCGATTCCTGCCTGGGAACAGACATGTTCAGCCGAAGTGTTTCAGAACCTTGAAAGAAAATCACAGGATTGAGATCAAAACAAGAATTTATTCTGACAGGATAGAAAAACATTTTATGGCAAAATTACATTACCAAAAAAATGTAATGGTGTTTAGTCTGGCGTTCCATTTACAGTAAAACAAGAGAAGCCTTTCATGATAAAATAAGCATATCTGGCCTTCTGGCTTCTAGATAGTTTTATTTTTTCCACACTGAGCACAGCTCCTCAGTGTGGATGCTGCTGGTGCAAGAGAACTTAAAGTTAGCAGGTTTCAGTCGCAGTGCGATTCAGCACAGACTTCCAGATGATAATAGGAAAACTGAATGGAGCAAAGTGGATGTGCTTTAGTCATTAGAGTTTTTAATCTTGAAAATGCTGGAAAATCTCACTGAATACACACAGAATATTAGCAATGTGGGTGGTTAGTTATTATAAGATGGCAAAAACACTGCATAATTATTTTATTTTTCTTTTAAAACAGTAAAACATCTCTGACTGCTTTCCACTCAGTAGCTATAGTATAAATGGATATTTGAAGACAAGGCTTTCTTCAATTAGCTTTGCAGGACACATTTGCTGTTATAAAAGAGAATTAAAAAACCCTTAGAGCTTAGTTAATTCAAAAAGATACCGTAAAAAAATCTTGTAATGGATCCATTACATAAAAAAGGGACACAGTGAAATTCTGGAATGTCTTCAAGGGAGCAATATGGTTGGAACAGAAAAGCTGAGCGTTAGGAAGCGATCAGCATCCCTGGTTTAGGACGTTACAACAATGCTGTAGCTGCCAGTAAAACGCTTCTGAGCAGAAATTCAATAAGAAGAACAGCTTTTTAGAAGTAAATCATATAACATCTCTGTTGTTGGCACCAAGAACAGGGCGGCAACACAAGTGAAAGTAAATAACCTGGGGAAATGTGGAAAAGTCCAGTTTGTGTGTGATTCAACAAGCTGATAAAGAAGGCCTGCTCTGTTCTAGGAGATTATTTTACAGAAAAGAATTTGTCATAAAGTAAAAAAGATCATGGAAAACAGTGAGAATCCACTCAGAAGATTTGTAAACAACAACAGAGTGTCTTCAGTCAGTGGCTTCTCCAGACAGACCTCTCCAGAAGATCCTTCCTGCCTACAGATATCAAGACCTACAACACGTTTAAAAAAAATAACGTATGAATTACTGCAACATTTAATTTCCCTTTGGGATAAATACGGTATTTTTAATTGAATTTGAATTGAATTCACTGATGAGTTCTAAGCGGAGCCATTCAAACCAATATAAGCACCTATGAACATATAGGCAGGGGTGGATTTAGGGATTTTGGGGCCCTAGTCATAGACAGGCAGGGGGCCCTCTGAACTGAGAAGACAACACATAAGACAGACCTATTATACAGATAGAGAAATGTTAATTTTTTTTTTTTTAATCCATTTTAGATGTGATTAATCTATCTCTGTTACAGGGATATGTACCTAAAGCTTTTAAGGTTGCTGTAATTAAACCTCTGCTTAAGAAACCGTCTCTTGACCCAGATGACTTGGTCAATTATAGACCTATATCCAATCTTCCTTTCTTATCCAAAATTCTTGAGAAAGTAGTTGCCAAACAAGTTTGCGATCACTTCCACCATAATGAACTTTTTGAAGAGTTTCAGTCTGGCTTTAGAGCTCATCATAGCACTGAAACAGCTCTGGTGAAAGTCACTAATGATATTCTCATGGCCTCAGATAATGGACTTGTATCTGTGCTCGTCCTGTTGGATCTTAGTGCTGCATTTGATACAGTTGACCATAATATTCTTTTAGAAAGACTTGAATATTTTGTTGGAATTAAAGGAACAGCTCTAGACTGGTTTAAATCTTATCTATCTGATCGAATTCAGTTTGTTCATGTTAATGATAGATCTTCAACACGCTCAAAGGTTACCTGTGGAGTACCACAGGGATCAGTGCTAGGACCAATTCTCTTTACTTTATACATGCTCCCAATTGGTAGAATTATTAGACAGCATGGGATTAATTTCCACTGTTACGCTGATGATACCCAGCTATATCTGTCTATAAATCCAGATGAAGCTAACCCATTACATAGATTACAGGCATGTCTTGAAGACATAAAAACCTGGATGACTCTTAACTTTCTGCTTCTGAATGCAGACAAAACAGAAGTTATAGTCTTTGGACCAGAGTCTCTGAAAAAGAAACTGATTAGCCAGTCACTTCATTTGGATGGGATTAAACTGATTTCAGATAATAAAGTAAAAAATCTTGGTGTTATTTTTGATCAGGACCTGTCATTTAAATCCCACATCAAAGAGGTTTCTAGAATTTCCTTCTTTCATCTGAGGAACATTACAAAAATTAGAAATATCCTGTCCAGGGGTGATGCTGAGAAACTAGTCCATGCATTTGTTACTTCAAGGCTGGACTATTGTAATTCTTTACTATCAGGAAGTCCACAAACTGTAGTTAAAAGCCTTCAGCTGATCCAAAATGCTGCAGCCAGAGTTCTAATGAAAATTAAAAAGAGAGATCATATCTCGCCTATCCTGGCTTCTCTTCATTGGCTTCCTGTTAAATCAAGAATAGAATTTAAAATCCTCCTTCTCACATATAAAGCCTTAAATGGCCAAGCTCCATCTTATATCAGAGATCTGCTTGTTCCTTATGTTCCTAACAGAGCACTTCGCTCTCAATCTGCAGGTTTACTAATCGTTCCTAGAATTTCTAAAAGTAGAATGGGAGGCAGATCTTTTAGTTATCAGGCTCCTCTCCTGTGGAACCAACTACCAATTTTAGTCCGTGAGGCAGACACCCTGTCTACTTTTAAGGCTAGGCTTAAAACTTTCCTTTTTGATAAAGCTTATAGTTAGGGTGGCTCAGGTTATCCTGAGCTATCTCTATAGTTATGCTGCTATAGGCTTAGACTTTTGGAGGACATAGGGACCCCCATTTCATCATTCTGCTTCTTCTCTGTTCTCCTATTCTGCAGAATCTGTTAGTTCAATCTCTAACCTTCTGCTCTCTCTGCTTTTCCTCAGAGTAGCTTTGCCTCGTCTGTTCCTGTTTGGCTGTGACGTCATCCTGGAAAGAAACATCAGCTGTGCTGCTTCTATCAACACCCTTGTTTATAGATGTTGGAGGTCGGCCGGTTTTCCAGTGTGGTCCTGTTTCTCTGACCGTGACTGAGTGGATGTGCTCTCTTCGTCCTCTGGCATGGGAGCTGCCTTGGAGCTCGTCTGCCTGGCTGTGTGTTTCCTGGACGGGGCCGCCTTTTACAGCTGCTTTTTGTATCTCTGCTTCTGTCTCCTTGAACCCCAGTCGGCCTCGGCAGATGGCCGCTCACACTGAGCCTGGTTCTGCTGGAGGTTTCTTCCTGTTAAAAGGGAGTTTTTCCTCTCCACTGTCGCTACAAGCATGCTTAGTGTGGGGGATTGTATTTGAGTCAATGAGTCAATGCAATCAACTGGTTTTCCTTAGATAGAAAACTTTGTATCAATTTGACTGTATGATCTGGTTGAACTGTAAAGTGCCTTGAGATGACATGTGTTGTGAATTTGGCGCTATATAAATAAACTGAATTGAATTGAATTAATAGAATAGACATCCATTATCTGTTCTAGGTTGTGTCCCTCTCTTCTTGTCCCTTTTCTTCTTGTTTTCCTCTCTATGTTTTGTACTCAGCTGACTTTTCATGCTGTCTCTAAAGGAATGAAAGATTTTTTCCAAGCACTAAGCTCACTTAGCTGATTGCTCCTTCCTGTGTTTCCAAAAAGGCCAAAGTAAATAACCCAGTCCTTCTTTTCACTGTAGACAAGCCATGATCTGCTTATCTGTTCTCCATTTTTCATTTGGATGAAATAATAGCTGCATGAATAGTGACAGCAGACAAGATAGAGGAGAGCAGGAGGCGGGGTTACCAATCTACTTGCTCTGGAGAGCAGAGTTCGCTGCTTTTAGATGTTGTCTCCAAAGTCTACAGCAGCAGAAAAAAGTCGCTAGATTTGGCGCTAGGTGCTTTTTTGAAATCAAAGTGCTAGAGGGGTCTGAAAAGTCCCTAAATATTAACCTGACTCCGCCAGATGGATTTGCTCCGCATATCCATCTGGAAACCTTCCGTTGAAGTAATTTTGGGAAGGGGCGAAAATACTGGTTAGCTGATTGGCCTATGTTGGTGATAGACGGGCCAAATAAACCAATCAGATCAACGAAGCATATGACGTAACAGAGCGACGACGAAGAGGAGCCAATTGATAGATCAAACTCTTTCCGAAACCAGTTGGGAGAAGAGCAAAAACATCTTTTCCTCTGAGAAAAGCCTCCAGAGCAGTGTTTTGCTCTTCTTTCAGTGAAGAAATACTCTGTAATTCCGATAAAACTTGCTCGATAGCCACGCTAACGCTGGCTTCATCGGCTGAAACCGCCATGTTCTTTAGACTGAACTGTCGCGCTTCTCGTTGCGTTACACCTCAACCCGCCTCAAAGCCAACGCTGATTGGACATTCGTTTGGTGAACGGCTCCAAATTTTCTTCAACGGAGAGTCTCCAGACTGATTAGCGAGCGAAATCTTGAAAGCTCGCAAGATCAGGATGGTCTCACGAGGCTAGCTAAATATAGCGACTAAAGCGCTAAGTTGGCAACACTGCTCTTTGCATCGTTTGTTTTCAAATGGTTTCCTGCTGTCTGTTTGGACCTTTCTGAACATGTGCAGCAAATGAACTGATCCAATATGGAGGACACTGAAGGGGGGTTGAGATACTCTCAATTTTATAAGCGTTCTGATGGCATTTTGGCGAAAGGATTTTTATCAAAAACATAATTAATGCACAGAAATAAGGAATAGTTGTATTAACCATACATGTAAACAGAGTTTTATGGGGCCCCCAGGAACTTGGGGCCCTAAGCAACTGCCTGGTATTGCCTAATGCTAAATCTTCCCCCTGTATATTGGCTAGTTAGCAACGGTGTTCCAGAGGCTTCAATGCAACATTATAATAGCTACTGCAGAGAAGAACGGATTAAATCGAATGGGCACGTCAATTATAAAAAAAACAAAAACAAATGTTAACTGTAATTAGGTTTAGACCAGTCACACCGACAGAGGAGCTCTCTGTTATCTAAGCTACTCTAACCAGGCAGAACAAGCTGAGCTGCTCATATTGTTCATTTGGTTCACAGACAACAGATTTACTGTAAAAAGTTGCTTCTGATAAACCTCTAAAAAACACATGACTTGAAAACCTTTTGAATAATACTGTGCTTATTAAATTACTTGTTATGAAATAGATAGAATCGGGCAAAAGAATAACCCCTTGAGGCACAGACTCAAATAGACCCCTGGAAGGAGCCGCCTTGGAAATGAATTTGTTTTACAGTCCTTTCCACATAAATAAAGTGCTTAACACTATCAATATAAACCAAAATAAAAACAGGTTTAAATAAATCTAACAAAGTAGATAGAACCAGAGTTGCTGCCAAATAAAAAAAAAATCCTGCCTGAAAAATGAGCCTGAACCTTTTATGGGGTCAAAGGTCGAGTGGAAGCTGATTCCAGCCAAATATTTGGAAAAAACACAGGAAAATACAAGCTGTGATGCTGTAATTTGTACATTTAAACAGTAAAGCATGTGCAACAACAGTTTATTATTAATAAGATAAAACCCTGATGGATGTCAAATTAAAACAATTATTTTATAGAAGCCTTACTTTAAAGAGGCCGAGTCACATACTATGAATTTACAATTTAAGAGATACTTTCTGATTAGAAGTGGGTCTGGTTGGCTTATTACATTTTGTCCTACAATTCTTTTCTTCATTTATGACAAAATGATAGCATTCTTCATATTTACCGTAGCTTGATGAGTAATGATATTTAATATCATGAGTAATGATATTAAAGGAAAAGTCCAGTCAGGAAGGAATGATCAATGGATCATTAGATATACCTAAAACTAATACGGTTGCAGTTATTTAATCAATTTTGCATTATTCTGTAAACAGAAACTGACAATGCCCACGTGCATGGCAGCTGGATGCTGGAATACATCGGGTAAAAGTGAAGAAAAAAAAAAGAGTTATTCCACCTTTCTGATTCCTGATCCTTCACGGACGGGTTGGTCGTTGGATCGCCAACTTGAAGAGGGAGGATTTGCCATCGAACTTTTGGCCAGAGAAAAAACCCGTAATATGTAGCCAACATTTGGAAGAAGAATGTTTTCAAGATGACTTGGATAATAGCGCGTTGTGACAAACACCAGATACAACACTGGGACTTGATCAAGAGCCGATACCGCACCGTGACGTCACAAACCAGTAGGTGGCAGTAGTGTTCTTTGACAAACATGGATGCCTCCAGTAAAGCACATTCACATGGAAATGACTCTAAATTGAAAACACTGATCATTTATTAAGCAGTATGTAATAATTTCATATTTAAAGCAATTCAAGAAGTTTGAATTCTGAATATAACCGGACTTCTCCTTTAAGTAAAAAGAAAGAAATGAGCCACACATGTCAGTTTTTCCTCAAGTGTAAAAAGTGCAAAGAAATAATACCAAATTATTCCTTTGGAGTCAAAAAAGGACTAAGTAAACACTATGATTGGGAACAATAGGAATATATTGCTTTATTTTAATAAGCATAGATGGTTTTGGTGTTTTTTTTTATAGGCATAGTACGTGACATGGCCCTTTAAGGTGGGGATTTAAAAAAAAAAAAGATACGTTTAAAAAAAATCTGAATTAACTTTCTTACATTATTTTGGCTGAGTGTCAAAACATTTTAAACAGAAAGTATAAAAATATTTATTCTAGTTTGGGAAGATTCATTTTCTGTCTGAAATGAATCGTTTGGCACATGGTGACATTCTGACCCTTTGTGAAGGTCTGAGCTCCTTTGTGAAACGTAACCAACGGTACGATCTGCTGATGTTCAGAAGTAAGATGTAAATCTACAAAATGTTGAAGTCTTCAGGATAGCAGAGACATGCACATGCATGCACATACACAGTTTTTCTGAGGAGACATTTTCCAACAGAATCAACTTCTGGTATTGAAGGGATCCCCAGTCCCCACATTGAGACTGTCACTATATTCACACACAAAGTCCTAGCTGTTTGGTGGAGCTTTAGTTACAGAGGTCTAATCCAGTCTAATGCTAACACAATTCTTCTGTTGGAACTGAGAACAATCTAAATATGAGTACTGAGAAATGCAGTCGGTTTTCCTGGTCCTTAGAACACCCAGGTAACCGGGACCCATTGTGGGTTTTTGGAAACCGTTTCCAGGGCAGCTTTGACAGTGCGATAGGTCTCATCAAGGTTGTCATTGATGATGGTCAGGTCAAAGAAGTGACCAAAAGCTGCTTTTATTTTGGCGCTCTCATCACATGTCCTGTGCAGCTCTTCGTCCTGCAACAGAGAACGCACAGCTTGGCTTTTTCTCAAAATTCTGAAACACACATGATGTGAAAAAGCTGCGTTCTGCCATACCGTCAGGGTCTTGGTGACCACCCCCGCCTCCACAGCTGAGCGATTCATCGCCTGTAGCACCTCGAAGTCAGGAGACTGAAGGAACACCACATAGGGAAGGAACTCTGACGTCCGCAGCACTTTCAGAGACTAAGAGGAGCAAACATATGCATCACATCAGATTTAGGTCACATGTTGCACAACAGTTCATACTTTGGGCCTTAGATACACTGCATTACGGAGGCTGAAATCATGACTAAAGCAAGTTTTTATGACTTTAATCAGTAATTCCAACATCCAGCTGCCATGCACGTGGGCATTGTCAGTTTCACTATAGCTCTGGTGAATTTCAATGCTGAAGTCCTCTGGAAATCTTCAATAATTGTTGTTGATTGCAGATGTGTCTAGTAGTTCCCATTGATTTAGCTTGTAAAGCGGGGAGAATGGCGCTAGGCTTACCGCACCATGACGTCACTGCTGGAAGATGGCAGGAGGGAGGGGTTACTATATTTGGGCAAAAATGGCCGCTCCCAGACTCAGTGATCACAACGAAAGTTTTTATTTTTTCACTGATTAACAATAAATTCATTAAATAACTTTGAATGTATTAGTATAGTATTGACAATGATCCATTGATCATTCCTTGCTGACGGACTTTTTTCTTTAAACTGTGTAAAATGTTACACTAATAGTGATGTTCTATATAGTGTTTCCAGCTGGTAGCAAACTGTTAGAAAAACACAAGCTCGATGTCTTAATACCGTATTTTTGTTTATCCCCAAGAATAAATAAAGCTCAAATTAACTTAGCCAATTTAGCTTTTATCCCGAACTTCTGCAAATCCTTATGATTATATGATTAACATGTGGGGAAGTATTTGGATCCTCACAGACTGTTTTTGATGTGCTACTCCTAAAAGTTTCAGATTATTAAGCAAACTTTACATCTATATCAGACACAGATAACCTGAGGAAATACTGTAACATAACCACTGTGTTATTTTCTCTTTTTGTATAAAGTACATTGAAGTGTACCAATAACAAACTGTCTTGTAGAACAGTTATGTCATTGTTAATAGTATTTCAAATCTCCACTGGTTAAAAAATGATGATGGGAATTATTTTACTGGGTTATTTTGGTGAGGAGAAATTTCTTAATAAAAAGGGGCGTGTGCATCGGCGCACGCGGCTTGACAGGTGAGGAAGACGCGCACTGACAGGTCTGTGCAGCGGGAGTTTTGGTCTGGTTGTTGTCATGATCTGGCCTGTTTGCTCCTCCCTAATTAGTAATTCATCTCACCTGCCGTTTTCCCTCCCTGCCTCAATTACAATGTATTCCTCTCACCTGTTTCCTCTGGTTTAAATTCCCTTCAGCCTGAGCATTCAGTGCCGGATCATTTCTTGTCTTTCTGTCAGTCTGTTCAGTTTTACTCCTTGGTTCATGTCCTGGATCCTGGCAGCCAGTGGAAAGAGGGTTTTAGTGTTTGTCTCGTCTCCTGATTGTCTACTGTTCCTCCCCCGCGGAGTCCTCTGGGTTTTGGCTCATTATGTGGGGAGGTTCAGTTTTTATCAAAGTAAGCCTGGCTCCAGGGAGGAGACCAGTTTAAAGGAATAGTACACCCAAAACATGATTAGCCTTCATTTTCTACTCACCCCCATGCTGAACAACACTCTGGAGTACTTTTTTGATATCTCAAATGCATCTGGAGACCTGGGAGGCTTCTTGCTGTCTGCTGACATTCAAATAATGGAGGTCTATGGCGCCCGAGACAGAAAGGTCCATAAAAGTCCACAAAAAACGTGTCAATATTCCTCCATACTGCTCGTCCAATGTATTCCAAGTGTCCTGAGTGGGTAGCATCCAGAATTTACTCGAAACGAAGTCATTTAGAATGTTTTTAGAGCATAAACAGTAGTGTATAGGATTTCCTGAAAGCGCGCACCTGCGCGTTCATGACGCTACGGAAACCGCGGCAGACCAAACCAGATGAAAGTGCGCATTCAGCGTCTGCTCTTCCAATAATGCAAGCGTAGAAGAAAAAATGTGCTGTTTACCTGTGCAAAGAAAGCAACAACGAAAGAAAAATGTCTGAGGACTTCAGTGTTGAGGAAGAGCATGAGTTCTTTGCCGAGCTGAATGCGCACTTTCATCTGGGTTGGTCTGGCGCGGTTTCCGTAGCGCCGTGAACGCGCTTTTAGGAAATCCTATACACTACTGTTTATGCTCTAAAAACATTCTAAATGACTTCGTTTCGAGTAAATTCTGGATGCTACCCACTCAGGACACTTGGAATACATTGGACGAGCAGTATGGAGGAATATTGAAACGTTTTTTGTGGACTTTTATGGACCTTTCTGCCTCGGGCGCCATGGACCTCCATTATTTGAATGTCAGCAGACAGCAAGAAGCCTCCCAGATCTCCAGATGCATTTGAGATATCAAAAAAGTACTCCAGAGTGTTGTTCAGCATGGGGGTGAGTAGAAAATGAAGGCTAATCATGTTTTGGGTGTACTATTCCTTTAAAGTCCTGCTTCAAGTTCCGGTTCTACATCCTGTCTCGGCTACCCTCTTCCACTGAGCCTGCCTGTCTGCACCTCATCCTGTCTGCTCCTGTGCGTGACCACCTGGTCATGCTTCTGGTCCCAGTCAGACTCTGAACCCTCCTGGGAGCCTCCCCGCCAGCAGTGTCCGCGAGCCACAGCTCCGCTTTTGTTTAGTTTGTTTATTTAATAAACGTTTTGAACTTTCCTACTGACTGTCTCTCCTTGAATACTGGGTCCACCTGTCCCCGGTTCTTGACAGTTGTCTGTTAAAAACAAGTCAAAAAATTATGAAGAAAGATAAAACACAGTCAGAGTTTGTCCCAGCGCCGCAGATCACCCATGTAGAAAACTGATCTGAGTTTGCACCCAGAGGACGCAGATGGGTTGTCGTTTGGATTTTTTCATCTTGGAAAGGACTTTGGGCTTAAACGCTTCCAGGATTTGACTTTGGGTTCGGAGCATATGGAACTCCTGTTTGGACATTATTATTAAAAATAAAAAGAACGGACAGTTTTGGACTTTCAGTTATTAGGGTTGTTTTTGTTTGTTTTTTGCAGATATAAATTGAGATTTTGAGTTTACTTATAAATTGGTTGTGAAGGTTTTTGGGTTATTGGTCATTTATACTGAATATTATTGAATGAAACTTTGGATTCTTGGTAGCAGTGCGATTTTTTCATTATTATTATTTTTTTTTATAAATCTTGGTTTGCTAACAAAATCAACATAATCCTACTAAGTGGTTGGATATTTTTTCCTTTCGTCTCAGATTTATAATGTAACTCTTATTGCCTGTTTTCCTGTGAAAAAACTCCCCTTAAAGGCATACTATGCAACATTTTTCAGTTAATTAATGTGTTCTATAACGTTTTGGATGATTAAATGAGTTATTTCAGGTCGAACAAAGGTATTCTTGGCCGCCCTGGTGGTCTGTAGGGGAAATACCGCACTTGCAATTGCAGGAGCCCTCGGCCCGCACCCACAGGCTCAGAAGTCTCGTGCATCGCGAAAGTCAGTCTTGCTTTACGGCGAGAATTTGGCTAACTACAATCTTTGTTATTTAGACACATGCATAACAAATAATTTATGAAAACAAAACAACAAAATAGTCACTTACCGCAGTAGACATGGTGATTCGTTGCATTCGCCTGTCTGCTAAGCTCAAAACAACCGCGCCTGGCTTGACGGAGAAACCAGGAGAACAGCTGAGCATATTTACGACAGTGCACTTTTACTTTCGCCCTCTGGGGGGAGCCTCGCTGGAAAATCAACACCGGTTGCATAGTATACCTTTAAGTATTTGTGTGTTCTGCTTTTAATCAAGCCGAATTTAACAATATGAATGATGATTTCATCAATGAGAGAAGGGAAACTATCCAAATAAAAAATGGCCTTTTTTTGCTTTAGAAATGCAGTCAATAAGTCTCTGTTCCGTCCTGTTTTATAATAACTGGCAAGGAATCGTTTAAATAGCTGCAGATGAATTTAGACTCCCGGGTCAACCAAACAGGAGGATACATGTGAAACTTGTGAAACGGACCCCCGGTATGCGTCTCCGCCTACCTGGGGGTTGGCGTCCAATATGCAGACTCGTCCTGCCTCCACCACCTCGTGTATCGAGTCCACCTTCAGCCCATACAGGTTGCCTTCATACTCTCCATATTCAAGGTAACGCCCATTCTTGATGTCGGCCTCCATCTTGGAGCGACTTGTGAAAGCGTACATTCGACTCTCACGTTCACCCTTTTTAGGCTTCCTGGACGTGTCTGGATGAGATGAAACCACAGCTGATTCAAGGGTTCTAACCCAGGAAGCAAAGCTTTTCTACTTGGGATTTTTATCATAGTATTTAAAGATGAAACCTGCAGCTAAAAGCAAAGAGTCCAGGCATGACAGACATTGTTATCAATGCATCGAATAATCCTCAACATAATAGATAAAATCCTTTAAACTAGTCAGAATTCATACATGGGATGGTGGTGCCAAAAAGTTGAGGATCTCTGAGCAGAAGCTTGGCTTTTAGCCGACGCCTCCCGACGCCCTGAGCTCCAATCAGAACCAGGGTTTTCCTTTTGAATGGTGGGACCTTTGCCACCTCCTCATACAGCAGGATTTCATGTCGGTCAAACTCTGGTTAAAGGAGACAAACAGGTTAGAAAAAAATAAAATCCTGAGGAAATTAAAAAACAAAATCACAGAAAAAAACCCTTTACCTGCATTTTTTGTGGTCACATACATCATCTTCTTCTTCTTCTTTACTCCCAGACCAGTGCAAAGATTTCCTGTCACATGACAAAGCAGCGTTCGCATTAGTTTATCAGTTACCACCAGAGGCAATGCGGGACAACCTACAGTTCAGCCTGTTTTCTTTTTTACTCAATTATGATCAGCTAAAATACAGAAAGAGCAAATATTAGGAGAGAAATGAACAATTTAAGTTGATCTTCATGATATATGTTAATATTGTTCTCTTATATTAAATTTAAAAAACCCTGAAAACTAAAGTATTTTGGATTCAGTGGTTCCCTTAAAGGAATAGTACACCCAAAACATGATTAGCCTTCATTTTCTACTCACCCCCATGCTGAACAACACTCTGGAGTACTTTTTTGATATCTCAAATGCATCTGGAGATCTGGGAGGCTTCTTGCTGTCTGCTGACATTCAAATAATGGAGGTCTATGGCGCCCGAGGCAGAAAGGTCCATAAAAGTCCACAAAAAACGTGTCAATATTCCTCCATACTGCTCGTCCACTGTATTCCAAGTGTCCTGAGTGGGTAGCGTCCATAATTTACTCGAAACGAAGTCATTTAGAATGTTTTTAGAGAATAAACAGTAGTGTATAGGATTTCCTGAAAGCGCGTTCACGAGTCTACGGAAACCGCGGCAGACCAAACCAGATGAAAGTGCGCATTCAGCGTCTGCTCTGCCGATAATATAAGCGTAGAAGAAGAAATGTGCTGTTTACCTGTGCAAAGAAAGAAACAGCGAAAGAAAAATGTCTGAGGACTTCAGTGTTGAGGAAGAGCATGAGTTCTTTGCCGAGCTGAATGCGCTGGTTTGGTCTGCCGCGGTTTCCGTAGAGTCGTGAACGTGCTTTTAGGAAATACTATGAACTACTGTTTATGCTCTAAAAACATTCTAAATTACTTTGTTTCGAGTAAATTATGGACACTACCTACTCAGGACACTTGGAATACATTGGACGAGCAGTATGGAGGAATATTCACACGTTTTTTGTGGACTTTTATGGACCTTTCTGCCTCGGGCACCATAGACCTCCATTATTTGAATGTCAGCAGACAGCAAGAAGCCTCCCAGATCTCCAGATGCATTTGAGATATCAAAAAAGTACTCCAGAGTGTTGTTCAGCATGGGGGTGAGTAGAAAATGAAGGCTAATCATGTTTTGGGTGTACTATTCCTTTAAGGCTGAAAAACCTGTTTAAACCCAGGAACAATCGTCTTTTAGTGTCAGTGGGAACAGCTCAGTGACGCGTGTCTACCCGGGTCTAACGACTCGGCAAGTGACCCGCGTAAAAACTGCCTCGGCTCTCATCCGCATGCTATGGGAAGACCAGAGCCGCTGACCCGCTAAATCACGTGACATCATGAGCTCAACATTCTGACGTCAACACACATTGTCAGTCGCCGAAACATGTCAGCTTCCATTCGATAAACATGGAGCAGCTCTGGTGAGAAGGATTCAGACAGTTAATAGAGCAAAAAATAAAGCTCACTGACTACGCTCTGGCTTCATTTAATGTTGCTCTCCATTGTTTACTTTTTGGTTTTTCGTAGCACTGGTGACATCATGAATGGAAACCCTGCACGATGGTGTCACCAGACACCCAGTCGCAGGGGGACAGAGGCCACGCAGCTGCCAGCGGGTGGTTAGACCAGCTTTTATTGCTAATGGGGAGGGAGCTGAATGCCCTTTGTTAGCGGATCGACCCATGTTTGAAAAACACTCGTTAACCCGCTATTTTCAGTGGGAAATATGCTCTATGGTAGGAATCCTTTTGAAACTCTGTATTTAAAAATGTTTAGTGCTTTTCACTGGTGTGTTAAATAACTAAGCTGTTAATATGGCGACTAAGAAAACAAGTAAAGCTAAAAAAAATCAGAATGTCATAATAAATGTCAGTATTTCCAGCCACTCCTCATAATATAGATTACATTAATGGCAGACTAAACTAATCCAAGCCTAGGATTAGTGGTTAACCTACCCTAAGCCACTCCTTAGATCTGAGCTCCTGTTTGCGTTTCGACACAATTGGCAAATTGTTTTGCTATTGTGTCGATACTGTGTCACTGAATACTGACACCTGCTGGACATTATAATCACTACAGGCAGCCTCTGACAGACTAAACTGATTTGATGACCTATAACATGATTTGAGCCATTGTTTGGTATAATGTATTATTTCATATCTTTGTTTAAATTGAAAAATATAATTCATATTTTAGGATGTGGGCTGCTCAGTGAGTAGCACGGCTGCCTTGCAGCAAGAAGGTTGTGGGTTGGATTCCCAGCCTGGGGTATTTCTGCATGGAGTTAGCATGTCCTCCATGAGCATATGTGAGTTTTCTCCGGGTAACCCGGCTTTCTTCCATAGTCCAAAAACATGACTGTTAGGTTAATTGGCTTCTCTAAATTCTCCTTAGGTATGAGTGTGTGTGTGAATGGTTGGTTGTCTCTGTGTTGCCCTGTGATGGACTGGCGACCTGTTCAGGGTGGACCCCGCTTTTCGCCAGTAGAAAGCTAGAGATAGGCACCATGAAATCAATTGTAATTCAGATTAGTTGAGTGATAACTGAGAGGATTACACAAGAAAATTAAAACAAATATGAGATCAACACGGTCACTCCCACTCAGCCAAAACCTTTGTTTTGCCTTGAGGCTGCATCATAGTTCTTGATTAATTTAATGATAAACCGCAAAAGATCAGACATTTTTTGGCAGATACGCTGCGTTGACAGATGTACTTATAAACACAGTTTAGTGCGTCAGTGAGTTTGAAACAGCTCCTGTATCGGTCATGTGACTTTCTTCAAACGGTACGCACACAGACACAGGCTTTTGCTGTTAGAGCACCACCAGGACCTAATAAGTTTGTTCACTAGGCTTAACTTATATGAAACAAACTGATCTTTCTGAGGGACAAACTAGGTTGTAGTTTAAAGATTAATAAAAAATAAAAAAATCATGTGACTATTTTATACAGTTTATTAATGGCCGGGTAAATTATAATACTAATAATACATTTTATTCATAAGATATTTACCAAAGTGTTACATTCAACAAAACAATTAATATTCTAAAACCAAAAACCTTGCAGATAAAAAACATGAGAATAACAGTAAAAGGCAAAGATCATTTAAAACAGGAGAAAACATTTAAGAGGGAGCTCATTAAATTCCTTTTTTAGATTTTCTGTATTAAAGCAGGCTGTCTGTGGATGTTTAAATGAGGTGTAAGAAGAAATAATAATAATAAAAAAAAGAGATTTTGAATATTGTGGCATAACTTTTAATGCATATCTATGCTGCAGACACGGTAAGCTGAACTTTTAATGCATATCTATGCTGCAGACACGGTAAGCTGCCAGTAGAGGGCAGAAAACCCTGATCTTTGGAGTTCCACCTACCTGCAGGCGCCAGCTCCACATCCTTCCTCACAAAAGCTTTCCTTTTCTCCTCCAACATCTGACTGGGGATCAGCCCTGCACTTCCACCCTCCACATGACGGGCCTGACAGAAACAGCAACACATACGGTGGTCTGTTAATGCATTTATAATTCACAGTGTTCAGTCAGAGTTTCTCTGCACACATACAGAGTCTTTAGGAACCATGCTTTTTACTCATGTAAAAGTACCATTTTTAAAATACCTAAAAGTATAAAAGTAATGCAGGAAAAATGTTAAGAACAGAAGCTTTATTGCACTACCCTATTAAAGGAACATTTTTGTACAATTCTGGATGAAAACCTCCTTAGACTTAATTTTCTTAGTTTTAAGTTTTATAACTAATGGTAACAGTGTCAAATTTAATGTTGCATCATCTTGAAAAACTATTTATTTTGGTACGTGATAAACAACAATAAACAGTGTTTAGCTATTCGCTATGCTTCATCTGGTCTGTTCCTGTTTGGCTGTGACTCCATCCATGAGAGAAATATCAGCTGTGCTGCTGCCATCAACACCTTTGTTTATAGAAGTATTAGAACGTCCTGTTTTTCAGTGAAATCCTGTTTCTCTGACTGTGACTGGCTGGATGTGCTCTCTTCATCGTCTGACATGGGAGCTGGCTTGGAGCTTGTCTACCTGACTGTGTGTTTCCTTTTATACAGGTGCTGGTCATAAAATTAGAATATCATGAAAAAGTAGATTGATTTCAGTAATTCCATTTAAAAAGTGAAACTTGTATATTATATTCATACATTACATACAAACTCATATATTTCAGATGTTTATTTTGTTTAATTTTGATGATTACAAATGACAACAAATGAAAATCTCAAATTCATCATATCAGAAAATTAGAATATTACTGAAGACCAATAAAAACAAAGGATTTATAGAAATGTTGGCCAACTGAAAAGTATGAACATGAAAAGTATGAGCATGTACAGCACTCAGTATTTAGTTGGGCCTCCTTTGGCCTGTATTACTGCAGCAATGCGGCGTGGCATGGAGTCAATCAGTCTGTGGCACTGCTCAGGTGTTATGATAGCCCAGGTTGCTCTAATAGTGGCTTTTAGCTCTTCTGAATTGTTGGGTCTGGTGTATTGCATCTTCTTCTTCACAATACCCCATAGATTTTCTATGGGGTTAAGGTCAGGAGAGTTTGCTGGCCAATTAAGAACAGGGATACCATGGTCCTTCAACCAGGTACTGGTAGCTTTGGCACTGTGTGCAGGTGCCAAGTCCTGTTGGAAAATGAAATCTACATCTCCAAAAAGTTGGTCAGCTGCAGGAAGCATGAAGTGCTCTAAAACTTCCTGGTATGTGGCTGCGTTGACCCTGGACCTCAGAAAACACAATGGACCAACACCAGCAGATGACATGGCACCCCAAACCATCACTGACTGTGGAAACTTTACACTGGACTTCAAGCAACGTGGATGAAGTGCCTCTCTTCTTTTCCTCCAGACTCTGGGACCTTGATTTCCAAAGGAAATGCAAAATTTACTTTCATCAGAGAACATGACTTTGGACCACTCACCAGCAGTCCAGTCCTGTTTCTCTTTAGCCCAGGCAAGACGCTTCTGACGCTGTCTGTGGTTCAAGAGTGGCTTGACACAAGGAATGCGACAGCAGAAACCCATGTCTTTCATACGTCTGTGTGTGGTGGTTCTTGAAGCACTCACTCCAGCTGCAGTCCACTCTTTGTGAATCTCCCCCACATTTTTGAATGGGTTTTGTTTCACAATCCTCTCCAGGGTGCGGTTATCTCTCTTGCTTGTACACTTTTTTCGACCACATCTTTTCCTTCCCTTCGCCTCTCTATTAATGTGCTTGGACACTGAGCTCTGTGAACAGCCAGCCTCTTTAGCGATGACCTTTTGTGTCTTGCCCTCCTTGTGCAAGGTGTCGATGGTCGTCTTTTGGACAACTGTCAAGTCAGCAGTCTTCCCCATGATTGTGTAGCCTATAGAACTAGACTGAAAGACCATTTAAAGGCTTTTGCAGGTGGTTTGAGTTAATTAGCTGATTAGAGTGTGGCACCAGGGGCCATCAATTTTGAACCTTTTCACAATATTCTAATTTTCTGATATGATGAATTTGAGATTTTCATTTGTTGTCATTTGTAATCATCAAAATTAAACAAAATAAACATCTGAAATATATGAGTTTGTATGTAATGTATGAATATAATATACAAGTTTCACTTTTTAAATGGAATTACTGAAATCAATCTACTTTTTCATGATATTCTAATTTTATGACCAGCACCTGTATTTGCCTTTTGTATCCCTGCTTCTGTCTCCTTGAACCCCAGTGGGCCTCAGCAGATGGCCGCTCACACTGAGCCTGGTTCTGCTGGAGGTTTCTTCCTGTTCAAAGGGAGTTTTTCCTCTCCACTGTCGCTACAAGCATGCTTAGTGTGAGGAATTGCCTTTGAGTCAATGAGTTGATGCAATTAACTGGTTTTCCTTAGATAGAAAACTTTGAATCAATCTGACTGGATGATCTGGTGAACTGGAATGTACCTTGAGATGACATGTGTTGTGAATTGGCGCTACAAAAATAAACTGAATTGAATTGTATTTGAAACAAGCAAAGTTAAACCTGTAAAACCTGAACCAACCTGCCACCAGTTGACATCGTCTTGGTTGACTATCTGAAGGATGTCTCCAGTTTCAAACCTTAGGCCTGCTTCCTTACAGGGGATCAGGGTGTCATTGGATGGGTCGTAGTCATAGTGACACTTGAAAAACACCTGGACCAAGTAGAACAAAGAGAAGTTGATGTTTTATTTTCAGTTTATTGATGAAGTAGTAATAGTTTCATTCTGGATGAGAATAACTGGAATGAAATAATAAACCAGTGATGATGAGGTGGGACCTGTTGGTATGAGTCACCTGTCTTGGTGGGATGGTCTCATGGTAACTGGGCAGGATCTTCAGTACAACAATCCCACTGGCTGCCTGCAGCTCCTCCAGCAACACTCTGGGGTCCTGGCTCACGTCTCGCCCGTTCACCTGTTAGAAAAAAAAGGTTTTTATTATTCACAGAGTAAATCCAAATCTGGAAGCAGAAATCAACATTTTCTTTTTCCATTTCTGATCTTTGGGACAATAAATACTATTCCCATAAAAACCCAAATTCTTTCTCAAAGTTTATTCATAACATGTTAATGTTTACCAAAGTGTCTGTAATTTCTGTTGATTCTGACACAACCTTCACAGTATTTCCACTGTTATAAGTAAAGGAGACAAATTCTGTCTAGATCAGAACATGGCTGAATAAATACATCTATGACGTCTATTGATTTCCATTCATTTAAAGGGAAACACTGTTTTTTTTTTCACATTGGCCCCTTGATTTTACGTTATTCCATCATGTTCTACTCACCCATATGAGTTTTGTGTCATTTGGAGCCGTTCTGAAGATATTCCGTTAGGTTATATCCCAGTAACGTCTTCCTATGGGCAACGAGTTGAAGGCACAAACTAAACTGTTCATAATTTATTCTTTATGGTACGCCAGCATTCAGAACATGTAGGCCAATCACTGTCCCCCAGACATCCGTAGGTATATTTTTTATATTTATATCTTTTAAAAACAAAGCGACTGGAGTAGTGACAGGCAGCCCGGGCCACAGGCGGCTACACTCTACCCCTTCTATTCATTCTAGCTAATCTGAATCATTCAATTCCATTTGGAGAGTGAGATCGGTAGCCGGCGCGGACGGATGACGTCATACAAACTCCATTTTGTTTTAAAAAAATATATAAATATAAAAAATATAACTGTGAATGTCTGGGGGACAGTGATTCACCTACATGTTCTGAATGCTGGCGTACCATAAAGAATAAATTATGAACAGTTTAGTTTGTGCCTTCAAGTCGTTGCCCATAGGAAGACGTTACAAATTAAACTGTTTATAATTTATCAATGATACGTGTTTTAATCATTTCATTTGAATGTGCTTTACTGGAGGCATCCATGTTTGTCAAAGAACACTACTGCCACCTACTGGTTTGTGACATCACGGTGCGGTATCGGCTGTTGATCAAGTCCCAGTGCTGTATCTGGTGTTTGTCACAACGCGCTATTATCCAAGTCATCTTGAAAACATTCTTCTTCCAAATGTTGGCTACATATTACGGGTTTTTTCTCTGGCCAGAAGTTCGATGGCAAATCCTCCCTCTTCAAGTTGGCGATCCAACGACCAACCCGTCCGTGGAGGATCAGGAATCAGAAAGGTGGAATAACTCTTTTTTTCACTTTTACCCGATGTATTCCAGCATCCAGCTGCCATGCACGTGGGCAATGTCAGTTTCACTATAGCTCTGGTGAATTTCCTCTGGAAATCTTCAATAATTGTTGTTGATTGCAGATGTTTTTCATGTTTTCATTTGCAGATTTTTTCATCACAATGTTTTTATCACTGCTGCCTAACTTTATTAGGGCCGCACTTTAAAAATGAAAGTCTAGAGAACTGTACTTAAAGAAATTTCTTTTTGTTTACACTTGTGTGTACAAAATGACAAAATAATGTCTAAGTCATGTGTCTAGTAGATCCCCTTGATTTTGCTTGTAAAACGGGGAGAATGGCGCCAGGCATATCACACTGTGACGTCACTGCTGGAAGATGGCAGGAGTGGTGTAGAAGGCTTCCAGCCGTACATGTTTGAGCCCTTGCCTCGCAACGCTGCCAGTTCTGTTAGCTCTACGCCTGCTTAAGACACAGACGTCCATCCCCGTGAACACTGGGACGGAACTCAATGGGAAAGGAAATTATTCTGATTTCTTATTTCAACCGTTGCCTATATTAGCTGCGACATATGAATCAAGATGCTATGAGCAAAAAAATTTGATTGACAGATGACTGTTGATATATGATTGGCCGAATTTAGTGTGTTCAGGCTGACGTATAACTAACTGGATAAGATAACGGAGAAAAAAGACACAGAATTTAGGACAGGATTTATTTTAAAAATAGAAAATGTCTAAATTTTGAGACAATATCGTCTTATAAAGAGTACATTCATATACACCAGAATGATCTGAAATTTAAATATGACTTCCCTACGACTTTAAAAAGCCAATGTCTAAGGATGCATAAACACCTGCATTTTATTTCCCTGTTAAATGCTGTTTAAAGTAACGGATACTAATTTCAAATTTCTCTGGACCTTTACTATTTCTTGATTTTCTTTATTCGGACCCCACTGATTTTTAATTGGTTGCCCCTGGATTAGATGAATACCTCTTTCCCACATCAGAAAACACAAATAACGTCAATGCATTATTTTTGATAATATAGGGAAAAAGGGAAAGAAAGGTAGAAATGAAATAATTGCCTCTTTGATGACGTCTCCTACGTGCAGCAGGCCTTGCTGGTCTATGATCCCACCATGAAGGATGCGGGCTATCACCAGCTCTCCACCTTCAACCTTGAACGTCACTCCCTGAAACAATGACAGAGCTTCATGGGAGAATTCAGGAGTTGATCACAGACTAAAACCATCATAGAACGGTGACACTTTCAGGTTGTCACAGAAGAAAGTAAAAATACAGGAAAGAAGAGCGGGATTAAAATCTAGGGTCAGCGCATTTTACCTTACTAAAGTTAGACTTCTTGTTATTTCACACTGTCACACTCCGGGTTCTATCCGGGTGCAGGCCAGTTTTTCTCTCTCTCTCTCCTCAGCAGGGATGGACGGGCAGGTGCACTACATCTGAGGTGATCACCACCCTTCTTAAGGAGCTGGAACCAGGAGGAGGGCGTCAGTTCGTTAACGCCACAGCGTTGGTAACAGACCAAACCCAAGCCTAGTCCTAGTAAAAGTTAAACCCTAGTCTAAATCCTTTTTTGATCCTTTTTCTGCAGAACCCTTGTTTCTGACCCCTGGACCCAGCCGTGAACCTTAGATCTTGGACCCTCCGCCTGAGAAACAACCAGGAACCCAAATAGGATCTCGGGTTAACAACCGTTCAGCCCTCCTACCTGCGATCACCTGCCTGTCCACCCTCGAACCTCCAACCAGGGAGAGAGTACTGGTCAGCACACGGACCACCGGGGACACTTCCCCCCCAAGACCGGACCACAGCCTCTCTACTGTGAGTGTCACCCCCACCAAAATCCTCCAGCACAGTTTCCTCTCATTCACCAGCCTCTTCTTCTCTGCAGAAGCCCAGAAGAACCTGACCTGACCAAACTGCTTCCTGTTCATGTCCACTGCCTTGTTTCTCAATAAAACCTCTTAAACCTTCTCCAGCCTCTGTAGTTGCTCTCGTCCAGAGTCACCTTCAATTATGACACACACATAAAACTTAATCTAAAATTCATGTCTTAAGACTGAGACATGGTGTCATGAAAAAGTATTTGCCTCATTCAGATTAGTATTGCTTTGACTTTTTTGACAGACTGAAAACAATTTAAATACTTCTTTATATTAAACAATAATAATCTGAGTTATCAGATCAGTTATCAAAGTTACCAGTTTGTATTCTCTTGGCTCCTCCCTTATTCAGGGCTTCCAACAAACAGACTGACAGACTTGCCTCAACTGAGATTCGAACCAAGGTCCACCATAATATTCAGAGACTTGGACCATCCTTTAAACATAAAGAAAAAATTAAAAACAGGACAGGCCACCATTTAAAGGGGCCTAGTTAATAAAATGGTTGCAGCCTGTGGAGCTTTGAGGGATGCCCTATTTTATTTAGAAACGGAAATAATAACTAAATAATTTTCTGCTGGAAAAGACGCACCATGTTTCCCTAAATACTAAAGGTCATCTAGTTACTAAACACCAACAGGGTAACCATGGCAACGTGTTTTACTGTTAGTAAAATGTTCTTCTATTTCTGCATTCAGAGTTAGTTTTTCTGTAAAACCTGTAGACCGAATAAGGACCGGTCTCCTCATGACTGAGCAGGAATATAAGTATACAGACAATGGATGGATGGATGGATGGATGGATGGATGGATGGATGGATGGATGGATGGATGTGGGATGAATTGAGGATGGGTGGACTGATGGATGAGGGATGGATGGAGGATGGAATGGATGAGGGAAGGATGGATGAGAGATGGTTGGATGTATGAGGGATGAATAAGGGATGGATGGATGAGGGAAGGATGGATGAGAGAAGGATGGATGAGAGATGGTTGGATGTATGAGGGATGAATGAGGGATGGATGAGGGATAAGGAATGAATGGAGGATGGATGGATGAGGGATGGATGGAGGAAGGAAGGATGGATGGATGAGGGATGAATGAAGGAAGGATGGATGGATGGATGAGGGATGAATGAAGGAAGGATGGATGGATGAGGGATGGAAGGATGAGGGATGGATGGAGGAAGGATGGATGGATGGGGGATAAATGGAGGATGGATGAATGGAGGATGAATGGAATAGGGATGGATGAGGGATAAGAAATTAATGGATGGATGGATGGATGGATGGATGGTGGAAGGAAGGATTCCCAATGTGTGTAACATTAATTGTGCATAATATGGAACCTTTAAGGATCACTTTGTGTGATTAATACTATTTACTTTGCCTCCAATCATAAACGATCAAACAGTTTATGTATTAAAAATTTAAAAATAGTTTATGATGTAAATATTTAAGTCTGAATAAAAGAAATAATAGAGAAATCTATAAGGGGAAAATGTGCTTTTTTAAGGCCGATTTTAAACATCTTACTCAGGATTATTCACAATATGCTGTTCAAACAAAGGTTCTTGTTATTTTTTGACATAATTTAGAAGTTTAACACAGGACCTATGAGATTAGAGATTTTTTAAATGTAACATAAGAGAACATCAGAAATCAGGACAAAAATATTCTCAAAGAAAAAATAAATAACAGACAATATCTGATAGGGCTCTCCTTAATAAAGCCCTTCATAGCTGTATTATCACAGACAGACATGATTAAAGACATTTCTTACCAGATGTTCTCCGGCTACTTTACGTATGCCAACCATGCGTATAGCATCAGAGGGCAGGGTGGGATTAGTAGCCTGGCTGTCTTCTTGTTCATGATCAACGTAATCACACGGGCTGGGAGGCTGGCTATCACATGCCTGGGAGGCAACTGAGTCATGAGTCTCCAAAAGAGACTGGGGGGGGACAAAAGAAAGGGTAGTTTGAGTTCTGTGTAATATTCATGTAAGGAAATCCAAAAGACAAGCAGCAGAACATGATGGTGAGAAGATTAAAAGCAAAAACATCGGCATCCCATATGTTGCTGGACTCTGAAAAAAATTCCAGAACATTTCAAACCAAACAAGACCCTTAAGCCGAGACCAGTCCTAAAGAAGAAAAACCCAGACCAAATATGAGTGGAGTTGTGTCTGCAGTTCAATGCAGTGAGGAATGCTCTGATCTATATCAGAGAAATATGCTGATGAAGGTTCTCAGTCATCCAGGTCATAGTCATTCCGTAAAAGTTCATAAAATATCCACTGGACTTGGTTTCTAAGATTTGAAGACGTTTCTCCACCTCTCCAGGAAGCTTTCTCAATTCAAATGTCTGGATCCGCAGTGAGTTTGAGTCTTATATAGACAAAGCCTTGTATCGCTTGGAAACATGCAAATGGTAACTGATGAATGGGTCGTTTGGTTCCATTGTTAGCCTGTAATATCTGCATTAAAGGGGGGGGGGGGGGGGGGGGGGGGTTGCCGTTAAGGGGGGATTGTCTCCTGTAATACCTGAAACCTGTCTATAATTGTGAAGGGTCAGTCGTTAAGTGATACAAGTGATACAAGGCTTTGTCTATATAAGACTCAAACTCACTGCAGATCCAGACATTTGAATTGAGAAACCAAGTCCTGTGGATATTTTTTGAACTTTTACGGAATATATTAGAGAACCCAAACAAGTCAACCTCTCCACAGACGCACGGTCCAACACAGAAGAGCGCCCTCCTCTGGATAAGACTCTGATGTCCATCTACACCTTATGGACAAAGGACATTCTTTGGAGGACCAGAATGTTCACATTTTGGACAAAGAAGGCAGGTAGTTTGAGAGGGGCGTAAAGGAAGCCATCTATGTTAAGAAAGGCCTCAGCCCTAATACTGTTCCAATTCACAAGAACAGCAGCCCGAGATCGGACAAAGTTCTCGCCCCTCCCTCTTTACCCAGCATGCATCAGAGCAGAATTGTCCATTCTTGAGATTGAAAGCTGTCCCAGCATGCACTGCAGCAGCAGCAGCTTTCAATGGAGCTCTCACAGAGCCTGTTGTTCCATAAAAGTACATTTTAAGTTTATTTGAGGCGAGAACATTATACTTTAAAGCATCACTATATGGCCCATTTACTGATTTAATGCATAATAAAAAAAAAAAAATCAAAAGTTGAGAGGACTGTGGCCACCAGTGGAGCTCCTAGGCTAACCGCAGCCCGTCTGCAGCAGCCCTTCCTCGGCATAGCCGTGTGTCAATTACCACTGGTTCTGATGGCGAGTTTTTGTTTTATTTGGTAAAATGCTCATTTGATTTGTGTTTATCTGACTGTGTTAATTATTTTTCCCCCAATAAAAAAAAGTTTGAATTTATTATTATCTAGAGACTATTAATAACAGGAGAAACGCAGCTTCAGACGAGTCGAGCCTGTGGTGATGTCATCAGTACGCTTCTGTTCCCAACTGACCCAGATTTATGCTGCGTGACCCCGTTCTCTCCAAGTCCACAGTTTTCTGTCTTCTACACAAGAACATTCTTGGCGAGGACACTAGTCCGTAGTCGCGTTCTAGTGAATTGAGAAACGGCCATAGACAGGCATCAGGTGTTGCAGGCGAACAAAGAGCCCAAAGACTGCCCATTCCTAAGGGGTGGACCCGTTCTTCCGATTCAATATGCATGTTTTTTTAAGCCAAAACCAGGCTTTGTTCTACATATAAAGCCTCAAACTCAACACTATTTTTGACATTTTGAATTGAAAAAGCTTCCTGGATAGCAAGCGAAATATTTTCAAACTTGGAAACAAAGTCCAGAGGATTGTTTTTTTTTTTTTTTTTTTTACTTTTTTGGATTGACTATTGCTACGTTCACACCGGACGCAGCAAGAGCAGCAAAATCGCGTCTGCTGCTTCATTTTTGCTGCTTGTACCGGTTTAGTTCTGGTGCAAAAGTGTGTCTGACGCTCGTTGGGCGGAGCTTCACTATCCTTTCTCTGCCTTGTGGCTATATTTGCTGTGATCAGAGGGAATAAAGTAGTTTTAATATGTTTTTAAATGAGAAAATCCACCTGAAAACTGAATCATTGCAGTCAGTTCATACAGATAATTATCCCACCTTCTAATGTTATTTCTGTTGGAGCCGCTCAGACCCCCACATACCAGCGGTGCGGCGACAGTAGGAATCCATTCAACAGCAGCCACTGGCCGGGTCGCCTCCTCGCGGTTCACCGCGGCAGCTGGTAGGTGTTTTTCATCTAAATAATCTAAACTGCAGGAACCAGGATAGTAAAAGCGAACATATTCTGCCGGCAGATTTCTGCATTTGAAGTTAATTTATGCATCAATAAACTGTTTCAGAGCAGTGATCACAGCGCTTTGTATCATCAGCGATGTGTCTCTCTCCCTGCCAGCTCCCAGATCAGCTTCTCTGATTGGTTGACGCGGCGCGTCGAGCAGCAAAAATTCAATTTTTCCATCACGAGCAGCAGCGCGTTTGCGTCAGATGCTTAAACGCTCCTGACGCGCTGCTTCAGCTGCTCAGACGCGCTGCGCCTGCTGCTCAAAAACGCGCTGTGAACTTTTGGTGCACCTTGACGCGCGTCAACCATTGTCTTTGCATGTAAACTCGGTGCTTCTGACGCGCCTGCTGCGTCCGGTGTGAACGCAGCATATGACCTGGATGACTGAGAATCTTCACCAGCATATTCAGCGAAGGAAAGTTTAATTATAGCACAATTCAGTACAAAAACATTTCAAAGTGCTTTATATGAATTAAACAGTTAAATATAAGTGAAAAAGCAGAATATAAGCAAGCAAATATAAAAACATGATAAAAGCAGGTAGCAAAGCAAATAAAATATATAAATCTAAACTAATAACACCTCAGTTAAAAGATTTACTAAGGCAGCTCTAAACTAATAGGGTTTTTAACCTTAACTTTAAAGAACTCAAGCCATCCATCTGAGAGTTTGTTCCAGATCAGTGGAGCATAGGAACCACATGCTGCTTCTCCATGTTTGGTTCTAGTTCTGGGTGGACAGAGTAGACTGGAACTAGAAGACCTGAGTGGTCTGAGAGGTTGATCCACTTACAACAGATCTGTTATGGATTAAAGTGCTGATCTATTCAATGATTTCTAGGCCTCATCTCTGAGCTACAGGGAGCCAGTGGAATGACTTCAGAACCGGGGTGATGTGCTCTACTTTCTTAATTCTAGTGAGATCATGGGCAGCAGCGTATTGGATCTGCTGCAGCTGTCTGATGGACTTTTTAGGCAAACCTGTGAAGACACTGTAGCAGTGATTCTACTAAACATGAAGTCATGGGTGAGTTTTTTTTAAATCCTGCTTTGACATTAACCCATTAATCCTGGAGATGTTCTTCAGGTGATAAAAGGCTGACTTAGTAACTGCCTTTATGAAACCAAGATTTCAGCCAAAATCAGTGGTTTCTAGCTTTAGTAGCTGTAGCTGTGAGCTAACTGGATCTCTCCTTCTTTGGCCCAAAAATGATTGCCTCATTTTTTATTTATTTATTTGGAGTCTCTGATTTAAAGTTCCCTACTTAGTCCCTGTTCGTCAGGTAGGATTTAAACCAGTCCAATGTGGTACCAGAAAGGCCGACCCAGTTGTTCAGATGCTGTAATAAAATCAAGTGATCATCAGTATCAAATGCAGCACTGAGGTCCAATAATACCAGCACCGTCATTCCGCCACAGTCTGAATTCACACGGATGTCAATGAACATCTAATTAGGGCAGTCAATGTACTGTGGTTGGCATGGAAACCTGACTGGAAGACATAAAAGCAGCTCGTCATTGTTAAGAAGGGATTTAAGTGTTCAAAAACAACTTATTCAGTAATCTTACTGATTAGGCGGAGGTTTGATATGGGGCTGCAGTTCTGCAGGATCCATTTTTCAACAATGGCTTGATAAATTTTGCTTTTGAAGCCTGGAGGAAAACATCAGACATAAGAGATTTTTTAATGCTTTTACTTTATATTAGACTTAAACCAGGTAAAACCTTCATAAAACTTGTGGGTTAAACATCAAGGCAGCAGGAAGAGGAGCTTCGCTGTTGAACTGTTTCCAAATTGCCAGAATTTGGGATTTTACCAGAGTTTATTCTAACTGGAGACGGTATCGGTTCTGGAGTTGGCTTTGATGTACATACTGCTTTTTCATACCTTGTGTTTTCTCAGTAAAGAACTTTGCAAAGTCATTGCCAGGCCTTTTAAGATTGCAATCCATCGGCCACAGATAAAAGAGGGTCGATTGTAGATGTTTTTGTTGATAATCTCAGAGAAGAAAAATTCTCTTGCATCTTTTAATTGTAAATTATATCTATGAAGTACCTCTTTGATATCAGATCTACTAACATCCAAATGAGGCATGATTGAGGAGGGTTTTCACAGTGAATTATGCCAGTTCCTGTGTGTTCATATTTATTCCACACCTGGAAATGAGGCTGTGTGAGAATGTGGGCGAGCTCAGCTGCTGTGTCAGAGCGCTGTGTGAACGGGTCCAGATCTCTGAGGATCTCCTGCAGAAGCTCGACATTGTTCTCCCTCACTGGTGACAACCGGGGCTCCTTTGGGCTCTCCTCTTGTTCCTAATGCATTAATCAACAGTGGCAGATTTTGTTAATTGGGCTAAACAATACAAATGTCTTTAAATACATACATACATCTGTTTCAAATATTCATATCTGAGTGTAAATCCCACCAAAGGGCTTTCCATGATGCCTTTGAGGTAGATGAGGTCCAGGTCATTGGCAATGGTGGAGCTGGTGGTGCTGTCACTCATTGTGTCCAACCCCTGGGGAACTGACACAATCATATACAGCAGCAGTGCAAACATTAATTTAGAAGATAGAAAACTTCATAGAGCATCAATAAGATTAAAAACATTAGATGCACAGAGAAGAGTGTTGGTGATAAATGTTGACATGAAGAATGCAGTCGGGTCTCACCAGGCTCTGTCCTGGTGGAGGCCACAGGCATGGCAGAACTTCAGGCAGTCTTAGAGACAGAGAACGAACAAACAAAATCAATGCAGTAAAATCAGTATAGTTTTAGCAAAAGACATAAGAAAATAAGCTTGCTGTTCACTTTTATCATCTGCATTCAGCTAAAGAAGAGTTTTCATATCTTGGACTTCTTTAAAGGTAGAAAAATCAGAATTACAAACATTCAAGGGCATTTTACGTGTTTGACCAACTTCATAATGTATAAATAAGGATAAATAATAATGTATGTTTGTAAGAGAGAACCTTCTGGTTTAGCTTAAAGCAGGCTTATGTTTTTAAACAACATCCAAAGCTTTAGACATATCACCTGAACACGATGAGTGAATGACTGGCTAGAATGATGGCAATGAGACCCATGGTCACTCTGGAGGAGCTGCAGGATCACCTGCTCAGAAGCTGCTCATAGGAAAGCACTCTGTTAGACTCCAATTCAATTTAATTCATTTTATTTATATAGCGCCAATGCACAACCCATTCAGATCATACAGTCAACACACACAATGCTAACTTTCAGGATGAGTAGCAGGAAGTGCTAAACAAAACCCAAAATAGGTTCACACCATGGAGAAGACCATGAACAGATGAGGTAAGGGCTGTTTCTATCGATTGTATATTGATTAATCTATCGATCAATTTAGTAATTGATTAATTAATCAGACTAGTAATTGATTAATTGATTGGTTATTGTATTAACGGATTAATCTATTAATCCTTTTAGTAACTGATGCATCAATCAAGGATTTTAGTAATTGATTATTTAATTGATAATTTTAGTAATTGATTAATTGACCCATAATGTTTTTTTATAAGTTAATTAATCTAAAAAGAGATAATTTTAGTAAATTACAATAAAAAAAAAAACATGAAATACAGAAAAAAATGCTTTATTGCACGTTTGAAATGAACTGTAAATGGAAAGCATGTAACAAATATTCATTCATATACATTAATAATATAAATATATCAATAAAGAAAAGATTTAATCTTTAATGGAAAAACATTCTGTATTTATACATGATTTTAGATTATAACTAGAATTATGTCTCAGTTACTGCTGTAAGTAGGTTATTATTTTAACATATGGTAAGTTTTAGAGTCTGTGTGGCATTAATCTGTGTAAAGATCAGATGAGGATTAATTCAATGATTGATAAATCATAATTAATCCAATGAATTGTTTCCATCTGAGAATACATCAAAGCTTTTTTTTGCCTGCATAACAATTGACTGAAGCGAGCTCAATACAAAAACATCCCTCAGTTCACTTTTATTATTGGAAAGATTTAAATCCATATATCCTCTTCACCTCCTTCCACTTAAATATGATGAATCTCTTTCACTAGAAAATAAAATCCTATTTGATAAGGTTTATGGTTTCAAGGTGAAAGAACAGTTTTCAGAATGCTGGATCTAAAACATCTGACAATAGTGGAGCTTTGGAAATAATCTAGATTAACCTGATTTACCAACAGCCGGGCACAAGGATTTTTCTTTTCTTTGGTCAGACTTATGTTAAAATCAGAAGAAACATGTTTCTTCTGGACAAGTGGAAGAAAATGGAAGAAAGTTTTTGGAAGAAAATCCTGGTAATAGATTGAAACTCATTATATGCATCAGGCTACATAAGAAGAAATCTTTATGAGAATAAAAACAGACACAAAGAATTTAGAATTTCTATAATTCATTAAGTGTATAAAAAAAAAAATGAGGTTAGGTTAGGAAGGATGTACTGCCTGTGACAAAGTGGTTTAGTTTGTGTTTAGTTTACCACTTGTCCCTTATTCTTTCTTCTAATTGTTTGTAATGCTTAAATTTAAACATTAGTTAGCAACTTTGCTTCACTTACTATCCCGGGTTTGTTTGTGTTAGCATTATGTTGCAGTTTCCATCTACTTATGTTTAGGTTAAAGCTTTTACTTCAGGATTATTGGATGAAATTTTTTATTTTGTTTCAAATTATATTCATGGTTTTTGTTTTCCTTTTTACTCACCATTGTTTAAGTATTTCCTGCTAAATTGACTAAATAATGTCATCCATTACCTTGCTGGGTTCTACCATTTAGAGGGTTTCCTTTTGAGTTATGCTTTGTTTGTTTTTCTTTAAAGTAACTTTTTGAGTTATCATGTTTCACACTGTTTATTTTGCAGAATCTTTCTTTATGTAGATGAGTTAGTAAATTAAATTAAGTTTATTCCTGTTTCTCTGTTTAGACTAGGCTTGTTCCGATCAGATCCACGTATCGGATCGGACGCCGATATTGGCAAAAAAATGCGTATCGGCAAAGCATGTGAAAATGCCGATCCAGACTGCCGATCCAGTTTTTTTTTTTTTTTGTCCGGTCCGTATTTTCCAGTTTCGCCGATTGAAACAATCCATTCCACTATTTTGCGCCAGTGTTCCCCGAATCCGGTCCGTAGTTTCCAGAACACCTTCAAAACACCCACAGGTCCTTTTGGGTCTGTCTCCCGGCCTAACCATTAAAACAGGTGAATTGGAAGATAGCGGGGAAAATGTCAGCCGTGTGGGATTATTTTATCCTGCACGATGTGTAGATGGAGACTAGGTGTGGAGGACATTGGGGAGTATAAGGCATTATTGTGTAACTATTATTTGCACTGATTTTTTTTAAGCAGTGTCTTTTTTCAAGAGTAGAGTCCTGATTCTAAGTTAATAGACTATTTTCCACTCTTGTCTGTTTTGCATTTTTATTAAAACTTACAGTAATATAGCACCTTTAACTGTTTACGGTTTTACTGTTCACTGTGCAATATTAGATTGCTATTCATAATTTTGTCCAGTTTGTGTTTATCTCTTAATAAACAGGTAAGTTTGTTGTTACCAAGCATTGTGTTTTATTCAATCTCACCTAATTCAGCTGGCTAGATGTTATCAAGAGTACTAAAACCCTTTTCAACATGAGTCTTACAACTAAGGCTAAATACTTTAACTTAAACTTAAATACATGCTCCGATAGGCTGGTATCGGCCAGTATCGGTATCGGAAGTCCAAAAACAATATCGGTATCGGATCAGAAGTGCAAAAACCTGGATCGGGACATCTCTAGTTTAGACTTTGTTTTTTTACCTGTTTAATTGAGGCTTGGTCCACTTGGTCCACTCAAGTGTTGCCACTTGATTATATAAGCCCTGAGCTCTTGGAAGCTCGAGGAAAAATGTTTTGTCAGAGAGAAAAGGAATAAAAGACAACAGAGAAACTGGAACCGGTGGCTGAAGCTGTTTTTTTTGGTTCACCTTATTGACCCTCGACAAAACTACCTCACACTGTCCCTAGTGGAGGAGTTTAAGTATCTTGTGTTCTTGTTGACGAATGAGGGGAAGATGAAGCGTGTGATTGTCAGGCTGTGAAGCGAGTGCTGTACCGGTCTGTTGTGGTGAAGAGAGAGCTGAGCCAAAAAGCAAAGCTCTTGATTTACTGGTCGATCTATGTTCCTACTCTAATCTATTGCCATGAGCTTTGGGTCATGATCTAAAGAACAAGATCCCGGACATTAGGGGTGGGTATTGGCAAAGAAGTCATGATTCGATTCGAATCACGATTCACATGCCACGATGCGATTCTATCACGATGCATCACGATACTTGAAATATTGCGATGCATTGCGATATTTTCACTGAACACTGTAAGAACAGTGTTCAGTGAAACCAGTGGCTGACTGGCTGGGTATGATCTGGATAGTGTCTTCAATTGATACATGACTAAAAGCAACTGAATTCAAACATAGCTGTATTTATTGAAACGACTTTTGGAGGTGTTGCCATGAAAACAAATACTGGACAGAAATATTACTATTACTGGCGTTGGACACACTGACAAAAAGATCTTAGGATTCATCAAACTTAAAATAACAAAATAAGGATAATACATGGCCTCAGTGGTCCTTTAAACCAATGAAATGAAAACATTCAAATGTATATTTCCCCTTTTGCAAATTACGTGCATCATATCAATTTAGTTTTTACCTTCTTTGTTTTTAAAGCAAAATGCATCCAAGCATCTGACTTGAAATGATATGGAGCCGGGCGAATTTTCTCAGGCACCTCCATGTTTTGTTCACGAATGACTCATCTCAGTATCCCGCGGCCGGAAATGCTTGTGACACAAAGCAGCGGGCATCAACACATCTATAGCAACATCTGCTGGACTGGAAGTTGTATTCCACTTGATTTGGCTGATGTGCGCCAACCATTAATGTATTTTATTTGTTCTTTTTTTTTTTATTAAGAATCGATTCTTGCCATCAAGAATCGATGCAGTAGATCACAAGAATTAGAATCGCGATGCATCGATATGACGATTATTTTGCACACCCCTACCGGACATAAGATACAAAATTAGTTTTCTCCGTAGTGTGTCTGCTCTCTCTAATAGAGATAGGATGAGGAGCTCAGGCCCTCCCTCAGGGGAGGACTCAGAGTAGAGCCACTGCTCCTCCATATTGAGAGGAGCCAGTTGAGTTGGCTGGGGCATCTGGTTAGGATGCCTCCTGGACGTCTCCCTGGTGAGGTGTTCCAGGCACGTCCCACCAGAAGGAGGCCCAGGGGGGGACCCAGGACACGCTGGAGGGATTAAGTTTCTTGTTTGGCATGGGAGCGCCTTGGTATTCCCCCGGAGGAGCTGGCCCAAGTGGCTGGGAGAGGGACGTCTGGGACTCCCTACTGAAGCTGCTACTCAAGCGACCCGACCCCGGATAAGCGGAAGAAGATGGATGGATGGATGGATGGATGGATGGATGGATGGACGGATGGATGGATGGATGGATGGATGGACATAGACACAGAGAAGGGAAAACGCTTTCTTCTATACTCAGATTACACCAGCTGGCTTTCTTTTTCTATAATTCCCTCTGCTATTCATGCCCCCAAAACCCCTGATTCATAGATATTGAGTCCCACCTCAAGGTTATTACTGGATTTGGGCCAGCTTAAGGCAAATTATTCACCAAAAGAAACTAAACTTTCCAGTACATTTGAT